TTGAAATGACAGAGGGGGGAAAACTGGCCTGTTTGTATGTTGAGGGGAAACTATGTATGTGAGATCACAGTTCAGACATCCTAGCACGTGCCTGAGCATTTACCTTTAGACTGGGGGCAGCTCAGGACCATCCCCAGCCCAGACCTGAGCAAGCTGGACCCCCTTCCTCACTGGAAAGCCAGCGTGGCCACCTGGGCTGACCTCAGAGCCCTGCCTCTCTGCTCCTCAGGCCCGAAGGAAATGCCCCTCAGCTGGATCATTCCTCTCCCTTTTGGGGGTGGGGTGGGCTCGAGGGTGTGGGGGTACTGAGGAGGGGCTGACTCCCTGATTGTGCCTCCACCACTAGCACTGCCCCCTGTGGACGGCTGCCTCCTGTGAGACAGCTTCTTCAGATCTGAGGAGGAAATGGAAGTGTGTGCTCAGCCAATCCCATCCCAGGTGAGTCAAAAGACCTTTGCTATGTCTACCTCTCTGTCTCCTCAGCTGTAAAGTGGGTCCAGGAATAGAGCACTTTGCTGGAGCCCACAATGCTGCCTTATCCCTGTGGGTGAGACCCCTGGGTTCCCTGCAGATACAGCTCCTTAGGGCCTCCCGTACCTGATGCCCTGGGCCAGGTCTCTCCCCCTCATGTCCTTTTCAGTCCGGAGTGGGGCGCTGCCTTCATGATCACGTCAGGGCACCTCACACCTGCGAAGTTCAGGGACTCATCCAGGAATCTGGCTACTCAGTTGTGAAGCTGAGATGCCACATCAGGCCTGGCACCCAGGGCCAGGGAGCATGGCCCCTCACCTGCCAGCCTTCCTTGAATGGCTGCTCTGCCAGTGTTTTCTGTAAAGAACCAGGTGGTGGGAACTGTCTTAGGCTCTGCAGGCCACATATGCTCTCTCCCCATGTTCTTTTTGTATATGGCCTTTGTGGGGGGGGGGGGGGGGGCAAAAAAACTGTAAAACCTATTTTTAGCTGTAATAGGTGTACTGCAGCTGCTGTAACAAAATAGCACGGGCTGTGTGGCTCAGACAGCATTCATTTTCTCATGGTTCTGAAACAATCTGAGACCAAGTGCCAGCAGGGTTGGTTTCATGAGGACTCTTACCTCGCTTGCTAATAGTGCCTTCTCTGTGTCCTCAGTGGTGGAGAAAGAAGTCTCTGGTGGTCTCCTTTCCCAATCCCACTGCATGAGGGCTCTTCCCTTAGAACCCCCAGTAACACTATTTTCATAAAGGCCCCCTCCCCAATGCAGTCACATTGTGGATTAGGACTCCAACATGTGACTTTGGGGGAGAACAACTTAGCTCATGGCATTAGCCTTCTGAAAGCACACACCGTCTTGGCATGTCTGCCAGGCTGTGTTTTTGCTCATTCCTGATTTAAACATCCTCTTTGAGTGCCTTTAAGTCTGTGATTTTGTAGAAAAGTAGGGAATGGGGTTCCCACTGTTTCCTGGGATAAGAAAGAATCACTGGTGTGATCAGCAACAGATAGGCCCTCAGAAGTGAGGATGTCATGGACTGCGTTGGTGTCTGATCAGAGCACTGCCCAGAGGCGGAAACCATGTGGATGCTCTGGACACCATCTCCAGCCCACTCCGCCTCCCTCCCTCCGCTGTCCTGGCCTCCACCTTCTTTTGGGAAGGCAGGGCCCCATGGTAACACAGGTGATGTTTTTCAGCTACCTGTGGGCTTCAAGGATGTGGTGGTGAGCTTCACACATGAGGAGTGGGCACAGCTGGACATGGTGCAGAGGACACTGTACCAAGACGTGACTCTGGAGACATGTGACCACCTTGTCTCTCTGGGTAAGTTGGGCTATACCCATCACCTGGACTTTCTGCCCCTAGGACTCCAAGCTCTGGCATCAAGGGTGTGCTTGTGCTGGGGTGAAGCATCCCCAGAGTGGGTTGCTGTGTGTGTGTGTGTGTGTGTTTGCTTGCAAATAATAAAACCTAAACTTTATAAGGTCTACAGGTAATTGTCATTTTTTATAGTAAAGAGAACCTCTTTCTAATACAAAGAACTGATAATCCTTTCTCTTAAGAAGAAACTTATATAGAGACTAGAACACCTTATATTTTGTAAAATTACAGAATATATACATAGATTGTTATGACTGGCCAGATTATTATGCCCACCCCATCAGTACAATGAAGTGAATTAGTTATGCAAATAATAATAATAAAACCTTGAAAGTATTTGCTTAGGAAGTTTTCAATATTTAGTATTTTTGGATGTGTCAATGAAGTACTGATGGGGTGGTTATAATAATCTGGCCACTCAGTGTATATATTTGTTTATTTGTTTGTTTGTTTTTCCTTCACCTTAAATTGTCCTCTGGTGCCTTTAAGAGCTAGCCCTATATTCTGTACAGAAATGGGTCCCTTTTAGATACAGATCCTGGGTATTGTCCTTTGGTCAGCTTCCACTGCATGTTTGTGACTTATTTCCCAGGAATGGCTCCCGGGCCCTCCTAGTCCATCTCTGTCTGACTCCAGGGGAGAGGGCTGGGCCTGGAATACAATCTTTGTCTGGAAGCAAGCATCAATTACTATGTTTTTCCCTATTGACCAGGACTTCTGCTCCCCACTGTGGATGTGATCTCCTGCCTGCAGCGAGGTGCTAGCCCATGGAGGGCAGAGCAGGAACCACCTCCCCAAGGTGAGAGCCTTTAGTTAACTTGGACAGAGGAGGAGGGAGACTGTTTGTGGGAGCTTCCTCGCCATTCACTCCTACCTCCCCATGTCCAGCAAGACAGCCATGTTCTCATCCACGGGCCCAGCCCAGCGAGAACACTCACTGCTGTCATCTGCACATTTCTCAGGCCAGGGTTTATTTCTGTTCCCATTTTTGCTTTCTTCTTTACCCTTCAGCCACCTTGTCTTGTTCCCAGGTCCTCCTGACCCCGAGTTTTCATCAGCCCCTCATCATAACTTCCAGCTGGGCAAGCACTCCTCAGGTCTTCTTTCAGTTTCTCTCTCATCAGTTATGTTTCTGTCTCTCTCTCCCTCTCCCTTCCTGTCTCTGAAATCAATAAAAATATATTTGAACCTAGCCATTTGGCTCAGTGGATAGAGCATCAGCCTGTGGACTGAAGGGTCTTGGGTTCAATTCTGGTCAAGGGCATGTACCTTGATTGCAGGCTTCTCCCCAGCCTGCGCCCTGTTCCAGATTCATGCAGAAGACAACCAATCAATGTTACTCTTACATCGATATTTCACTCTGTCTTTCCCTCTTTCTTCCACTTGATCTAAAATATATATATATATATATCAATGGAAAAATATCCTCATGAGGGGACTAATTAATTAAAAACATATTAAAAAATAAATAAGGTACCATATTCACGGGTCCCAGCAACTGGGGATCAATATCTTTTGTGCTTATTGAAGACCATGTATCCTCAGACTCAGCTCCTTCAGTACATTTCTCCCTTAATACATTCTTGTGCTTATTCTTTTTAAAAATATATTTTTTTATTGATTTCAGAGAGGAAAGGAGGAGGGAGAGAGAAACATCTTATTTCCCTGCTCCTCTTTGGGCATCAGCTCTCATTGAACTCTTCATTACCTTTGCTTGTTTTTTTTGAGCTTCTTCACTGATTTTCTATTTGCTAGTCCATCCCATTCTTTTAATTCCTGCATGGAATTATTGTTCATGGACTCTAAACAAACACCGAGACATCTCTCATACTTGGTTTTTTCTTCATTCTTCCCTCCCATCTCAGGCTTTTGCAGTAATTGAAGCATTTTGGATTTCTTTCAGAGTGGAAGACTACACTTGAAAAGAAAGAGTCCAGTTCTGAAGAGAATATTGGTGTGGAAGAACCATCTTTCCATGTGGAAATGAAATGCTGTCCAGAGGGCCCCGGGTCTGAGTCAGTAGGAGAAATACAGGATTGGAGGGACCAGCCAGAGGAGTACCAGGAGGCGTCTTTGAGTCAGATTGTACCTACCTCAGGGGAGAATGTGTTTGCTAAAGTGGAACATTGTGAGCATGACCTTGGTGGAAGTTATCTGAGTGAAAGCCTTCTACCTCTGACATTACCCGCAAGAACACATTTGCACAAGCGTGACTCACAGTTCAAAGAGTTGAAACAGAACTCAGTTTTCTTTAATCATCAGAAAGGTGGTGCCCTTCTGAAGCCCTGTGAAAACCTTGGAAGTGCCAAGGCTTTCTCTGAGAACATTCACTTGAATAAACTTGCTAATATTAAAACGGGAAGTAATAGGCCTTGTGATTACACGGTCCACAGTGACTCTTTCCACTGTGGCACATCTGTTCGTTTCCATAGTAGAAGTTTTCCAGTAGAGAAGAGAAATTATTGTAAGGACAATGGAAATGTTAAGCGCAGCATGTCCCTGAATGAAAATAAGCCAGTGCATTTGGGAGAAAGTCAGTACACATGTGACAAAAGCTCCTTACAATCTGAAATAATTGTGGGTGATCCTGGATGTGAGGAAGACCATGGTGCTTTCTGCTCAGCCTCATCTGTTCATGATGGTGACATCCGGACCAGAAAGAAGCCACATGCATGTAAATTACGTGGAAAATCCTGCAGTTGCTCTGAGCTTGCACACCAGAGGACACACACTGGAGAGAAGCCATATACTTGCAGTCATTGTGAAAAAGCTTTCAAATGGAGATATCTCCTCATTGTGCATCAGAGAACGCACACTGGGGAGAGGCCTTATCAGTGTAACCTGTGTGTTAAAACCTACCGTGGTCAGTCAGCTCTTATAAAACACAGGAGAACCCACACTGGTGAGAAACACTACGAATGTAACGATCGAGTAAAGTTCTTTAACCGTCAGGGTCACCTTACTAGGCATCAGAGAATTCATAGTGGAGGGAAACCTTACTTGTGCACTCACTGTGGAAACTCCTTCAGCCGTAGCTCTGACTTTGTTGCACATAAAAGGATTCACAGTGGAGAGAAACCATACGAATGTAACCACTGTGGGAAATCTTTTTGGGAGCGAAAACAGCTTCTTGCACATCTTCGAACTCATGCTGGAGAGAAAAAATTTTATGAATGCAGTCATTGCGAGAAAGTTTTCAAATGGAGGTCTCACCTCATTCTGCATCAGAGAACACACACTGGAGAAAAGCCGTATGAGTGTATTGACTGCGGGAAAGCCTTCAGTGATGGGTCATCTCTTAGAAAACATGAGAGGACACACACTGGTGAGAAACCCTACCACTGCAACCAGTGTGGGAAATCTTTTCGGCAGCAGTCACAGCTGGTCGTGCACCAGCGAACCCATACTGGAGAGAAACCTTATGAATGCAGTCATTGTGGGAAAGCTTTCAGCCAGAGATCTGGCCTCATTGTTCATCAGAGAACACACACTGGAGAGAAGCCCTATAAGTGTAAGATTTGTGTTAAAGCCTTCAGCCAGAGATATCTCCTTATTGTGCACCAGAGAACACACACTGGAGAGAAGCCCTATCAGTGTACCATGTGTGCTAAAGCCTTCAGTGGTCGTTTAGCTCTTCAAAAACATGAGAGGATACACAGGGTCAAGAAACCCCATGAATGAATGTAATCATTGTGAAAAGGTTCTTTATGTGGCAATCGCCTTACCAGGCATCAGTGAATTCACACTGGAGAGAAACCACATTTGTGTGCTCATTGGGGAAAGTCCTGCTGCTGAAACCCTTCATAGCATATAAAAGGATTCACACTGGAGAGAAGCCCTATATGTGCGACCACTGTGGGAAAACCTTTTATCAGTGATCATAGCTTGTGTATCTGTGTATTCATTCCAGAGGCAAGAAACCTTACTAATCCAGTCATTGTACAAAAGGTTTCAAATAGAGATCTCATTATGCACCAGAGAACACACTGGCATGAACCCTATAAATGTAATCACGATGAAAAGACCTTTTTATACTAGAGAGAAACCCTATAAGTGTGATGGATGGGAGAAGGCTTTCAATGATTATAAATCCCTTATTCAATATGAGAAAGCTAAGGGAAGAGAAACCCTGTGAGTAATTAAGATGGAAAAGCTCAATGCAGAACTTCTTTTCTAGACATCAAACAACCACATGCATCAGAATTGCTTGGTGTTTACATTGAAACTGCAGATTACCAAGCTTACCCTTATTTATGAAATCAGAATCTCTGATCAGTAAAACCCAAGAACCTATCATTTCTTGAACCAGCACAAGTTACTTGTATGTGCACTAAAATGTGTGGACTTAAACATTTATCGATAGGTGAGAGGGTATGAATATGACAACTGATGGAAAGCTTGCAAAGATTTTAGTAGGAAATAGGAAATTCAGAATAGAACTGTGTCCATCAGATTATCATTTTATTGCAAACAACTGCCCAAACTTAATCAGATGTTATCCCTATAATACATTCCTAGAAACGATAAGGTATTGGGAGATTTGTTCCCCTCAAAAAAAGGCTACAGTGTATATCAATAATGGTTTAATGGAGAGGCCATTACTGCAGATTTGAGCAAAGTGAAAGCAGGTGGGAGACCATCACCTGGAGATGCAGAGTGGGAAAGGCTGAAGCCAGGCCTACAGCACTGGAGGTCTCAGCCCCTTGACAGAGTTTCTGACTAGTGGGGCAGAAAAGCAAAGTTATCTGATGGTCTGTTGGTAAAATTCCAAGTTTCTTCCCCCTTCTTGTTTTGCATTATCTGCCTGTGGGTGAACAAAATAAAATAGGGGGTGAATAAGGTATCCCCCCCCCCCAAAAAAAAAAAAAATAGAGTCTGGAGACTAGGAGATTGGTGAATTATGCAACACCTAGTTCTGGCCCTACTCCCTTCACAGCAAATCTTTCCATTAAACTAGTTCCCCTCCCCATCTATGGAGGCTCCCATGTTTTCTTCCATAGTCTCTTCAGTACAGATGGAAGGTAGGGAGCAAGAGACTTGAAAGCTTTCAATGTAAAAGAAAAATAGGTTTTTTTAAAAGAAGAACAGATACTCAAGAAAACCAAACATTTAAATTGAGATTGAGCCAAGAAATAATTGCAAATGAAAATAAGTCTAACATAACTCTTAACAGAGTTATGAGAATAAAAATACTTTGTTTAAGAAATAAGAAAAGTTGGAAAAGAAAAAGGAAACCCCTGAAGAGCTGAAAGAAAATCTTAAGGTCATGCCAAATACTGTCCAGAATTAGTGGGACCCATGTAGCATGAGAAACTAAAATACTGTAGCCAAGAAATCATTGTAGAAACTTCTGAAAAATATAAGTTTGAAACTAAGAAGAGGAATTTTTTTAAAAAAGTGTTCTAACAGTGGGGGAGTAGGGGGTGTGTATCAGAACTTTAGGTTAAACAAACTGTTAAAAGGAAACAAATATTATACAAGGCAGTTGTAGTCCAGACTTTAGAAAGGAGTCTTTATTTGACTGTGATGTTAATATTTCATCCTAGAAAAGGCAGAGGACTCATGATAACTGGAATAAAAGAGGGAGAAATATACAGATGGTTTTGCTTGGCCCTTCACTAAACACTATTTTTTAATGGCATTTCTTTTGACTTGACAATATGTTTTTATTGATTTCAGAGAGAAGGGAGAGGGTAAACACTTTTTATAACTATAGTATAAACAGTAGGTGCTGGTTTTGGATTTTACAAAGAAACTCAGAGGTGTAATGGTGAATTTGGAGGTGGAGTGCAGGAGTGGAGTTTCTCTGTATCTTCATTTTTGGAAGTTAGCTTTTAAATGGAATCGGTTACTTAGGAGGCCAAAATTAGAATATTAAACAGTGATAGGACAAAAAAAAATTGGAATCAAATAGAGGATCACAAAAATAAAATATTCCTTATCAAAGAAGGAAGGCAGTATAGTGTTTAAGCCATGAGAGATCAGAATTACAGATAAAACCTTATTTAGGAACTGGAATAAAACATTTAAGAGTAGTTGGTGGAATGTGTGACTTGGGTAGGGTGGAGCAGGAGACAGTGGCTTTCCATTTTAATCCTGTCCTCCCCTGGCACACTTCTTATTCAGGTAACATCATATCCTAGTATGTACCTGTAGATGAGCAAAACAACGTACATGAGGACAATTGTAAAGGAATTGTGGGGTGAGGTACACTTTCTCCTTTCCCCCCCACTATTTTAAAGTAAAATTTAAACAGCAAGAGTAAGAGGAATGCCAACACCTGTTTGGCTCAGTGGATAGCTTCTGTCTGCTGACTGGAAGGTCCCAGGTACAATTCCAGTCAAGGGCACATCCCAGATGGGGGGTGTATAGGAGGCAGCTGATCAATGTTTCTCTTTCATCCATGTTTCTAACTCTATTCCCTCTCTCTTCTCTGTGAAAAAATCAATATATATATTTTTTTAATTTCAAAAAAAGTGAGAGGAAAATACATCAGAGTCTTCTTTTGGGCTTATTTTAATAGGTTCCAGAATAATAGAAAGTCTCCTGGGATTCTTAGAAGTCACTGGATTGAAAGATGGGTTAATGTTATTTGTTGGTTCGTTTTAGTATATGTGCTGCCGAAGCGAGCACTGTTGGTTCGTTTTTGTTCTTGAGAGGAAGGGAGAAACAAACATAACTGGTGAGAGAGAATCACTGATCAGCTTCCAGCTGCACTCCCCACAACCCAGGCATATGCCCCAACCTGTAATTGAACCATGACCTCCTGGTACATAATCAACCATTGAGCCACACTGGCTGGGCCATGTTTGTTTTTTGTTTTTAATATATATATATATATATATATATTTTTTTTTTTTTTTTTTTTTTTTTTTTTTTTTTTGCAGAGAGGAAGGGAGAGGGGTAAAGAGGTCGAAACATCGATGAGAGAGAAACATAGATCAGCCACCTCCTGCACACCCCCTACTGGGGATGTGCCTGAAACCAAGATACATGCCCTTGACCAGAATTGAACCTGGCACCCTGCAGTCCTAATGGCGATGCTCTATCCACTGAGCCAAACCTGTTAGGACTTGATATCGCAGAAGCCTTATCAGGAAGTCACTGAGCCTGGAGAAGAGGTTGGTGCCCTGGAACAACTAGGGAGGATCCCTCTGAAGAGGGAAAACGTGTGTGGCCTTAACCAGTGTGACTGAAATCGAACCTGGGATCTTTCAGTCCGCAGACCGACGCTCTACCACTGAGCCAAACAGGCTTCAGCTTTAAAATTACAAAACAACTTAATTTTTGCCTTTATTCAATAGGAGTTCTGTCTCATGACCTTTCTGTTCACTTTTAGATAATTCAGCTCGGTAAAACACTTTTTTTAAAAATATATATTTTATTGATTTTGTACAGAGAGGAAGGGAGAGATAGTTAGAAACATCGATGAGAGAGAGTCATTGATCAGCTGCCTCTTGCACACCCCCTACTGAGGATATGCCCACAACCAAGGCACATGCCCTTGACCAGAATCGAACCCGGGACCCTTCAGTCCCCAAACTGACACTCTATCCATTGAGCCAAACCAGTCCCAGCTCGGTAAAACACTTTCATTTAAGGCGCTTAGAGCATCTAGTCCCACAAAATAGCTCATGAACTTCATTCAAAATTACAGCCCTAACGGGTGTGGCTCAATGGATAGAGTGTCAGCCTTTGGACTGAAAGGTCCCAGGTTCAATTCTGGTCAAAGGCATGTACCTTGGTTGTGGGCACATTCCCAGTGGGAGGTGTGCAGGAGGCAGCTGATCAGTGTTTCTCATTGATCTTTCTAACTCTTTGTCCCTCTCCCTGCCTCTCTAAAAAAAAAAAAAAAAATCAATAAAATATATATATTTTTTAAAAAATTACAACCCCTTTTTCTCCCTCAGCTTCCTGCCAGCCAGGTGAGGAGAAGACACTGCCCTTCCTCTCACTCCTCTTCCTCCATCTCTCTGGCTGTTTCTCACTCCACTGTGATGCTGCCAGGGATGAACATGGAGAGGAGGGAACAGGATCACTCTCAATGCACTAACAAGTGTTTATGTTGGTTCTGTGCTTCCTGGTCCCTGTAGATGGTTCAGAGTGACTTTTTTTTTCTCATAAGGGCACTTTTTAAAAATATATACACTTTATTGATTTTTACAGAAGAAGGGAGAGTGATAGAAACATCAATGAGAGAGAAACATCAATCAGCTGCCATCTGCACACCCTCCACTGGGGATGTGCCCGCCACCAAGGTACATGCCCTTGACCAGAATCGAACCTGAGACCCTTCAGTCCGCAGGCGGACACTGTATCCACTGAGCCAAACTAGTTAGGGCTCCATTTTGCAGTCTTGAATCCCATTTGGACTGCTCCAGGCTTAGCTTAAATGCCAGGGTCTTGATAGGAGAACATCATCAAAAAATCATACTGCATTTCCCCCATCCCCAGTAAACATTTTTTTTAAATATGTTTTTATGATTTCAGAGAGCAAGGCAGAGGGAGAGAAACATCTATGATGAGAGAGAATTACCAATTGGCTACCTCTGCAATCCCCTACTGGGGACCAAGTGCACAACCCAAGCATGTGCTCTTGACCAGAATCCAATCTGGGACCCTTCAGTCCACAGGCCAACACTCCATCCACTGAGCCAAACTGGCCAGGGCCCCAATAAACATCTTAACATAAGATTGAATTTAAGGCGTTCTCCCTGGAGCATGCCAGAACATTCTCTTCACCCCCGCCTTTCCTTGAATCACCTTTGCTGCTGCTTTTTAAAAATATATATTTATTTCAGAGAGGAAGGGAGAGGAAATAGAAACATCAATAATGAGAATCATTGACTGGCTGCCTCCAGCACATCCCCTACTGGGCGTCAAGCCCACAACCCAGGAGTGTACCCTTGGCTAGAATCGAACCCAGGACTTTTTAGTCTGCAGGCTGACGCTCTATCCACTGAACAACACCAGCCAGGCCATGCCTTTGCTTCTTGAATCCATGCAGCCTGGCTGGCTTACTGTTTCCACGGCTCACTTCTACCTCTGTGACTTTCTAAATAACCCTTTGCTTGTATTGGAGTTCTATGGCTCTGATTTAGTTTTTATTGATTGATTTTAGTATGGTTTTAATTGCTTTTTTTTTTTTAGAGAGAGAGAGAGAGAGGGAAAGGAATAGAGAGATAGAAACATTGATGAGAAACATCTATCCACTGCCTCTTGGACGCCCCTCGTCGCCCCTACTGGGGATGGAACCTGCAACCCAGGTACGTGCCCTTGATCAGTATCAAACCCTGGACTCTTCAGTCCGCAGGCCGACTCTATCCACTGAGCAAAACCGGCCAGGGCCCAGGACTGAGGGGTCCGGGATTGGATACCAGTCAAGGGCACATGCCTGGGACGCCAGCACATCCCCAATGAGGGACGTGCAGGAGGCGGCCGATCCATGATTCTCTCTCATTGATGTTTCTATCTCTCCTTCCTCTCTAAAATCAATAAAAACATATTTAAATAAAGGGGGGGAGCCCAAGGCCCGACTTAACACCAGCTCATCCAGTCCCAGCCTGCAGACTGTTTTGAGGGGCCGCCTTCCCCGCCCCCCGCGTCTCCCGGGGCAACACAGGCTCGGGGCGCCCCATAACCTCCCCCCCACCGCAGCCCCGAGTCGCCTTGGGCCCATTAGCCGGAAGTCTGGTCAGCGGAGGCTCCCATTGGTCGGAGGCTCCCATTGGTCGATGGCTCCACAAACGGAGACCCCCCCACCCATTAGTTTCCGCGCTGCCACCCGCCGCTGCGCCTTCTGGGAGTTGTAGTCTTGACGTCCCGGGGCGGCCGCCATTGTCCCGCGGTGGGCGAGCATCGGCGGACCCTGAGGCGAGGGCGGGGGGCGGCTCTCGGGTTTGGGGTCGCCCCGCGCTCTCGTCCTCGACCCCTCGGCCCAGGATGGACCCTGAGGAGGAAGCGGCCGCCTGGGCGGCGATGGCGACCGGGCCGCCGCCGTGCCGGCCTCAGGTAACGGGAACAATAGCCGGAACGACGGCGGCCGCGGGCCCGGCTGGACGTCTCCCTCCGAGCCTGACCTTTCACCCCCGCGGCGCGCGGGGAAACTGAGGCGGGGCCGGCGGGTGTCCCCCGAGAGCCATGCCCGGCCGCTCCGCCCGCCTCCCGGGTCTCGGGCGCGGCTCAGGGTCCTCCCCGGGCCGGTCCCGGCCCCGCCTCGCCCCGCCCGGAAGGCTGGCCCCGCGGCCACGGGTCACAGGTGTGGTCCCGGGAGCCGCTCCGGTGCGCACCCCCCGCCTGCGGGCTGGGCCGCACCCGTGAGGGGCGGGGAGACCACCGGGGTCCCCGGCGCCACCCCCGGGGCCGGGGGACAGCGTGCGGGCGGCCGGGCCTGCAGGTCGCGGTGGGAAGGCCCCGGCCCGGGCGGTTCCCGGCCCAGCGGCCGCTGTGCTGTTTCTCAGGTCGAGCGTGACCTCTGAACCTGGAGGTCAAGGTTCGAGTCCACCAGGTTGAGCGCTTGCCCGGTGGCGGGCCAGGTCCCCACCGCTGTTTGTAACTCTATCCCTCTCCCTTCCTCTCTTGCTTTTTTAAAAAATATATATTTTATTGATTTTGTACAGAGAGGAAGGGAGAGAGATAGAGAGTCAGAAACATCGATGAGAGTCATCGATCAGCTGCCTCTTGCACACCCCCTACCGGGGATATGCCGGTAACCGAGGTACATGCCCTTGACCGGAATCGAACCCGGGACCTTTCAGTCTCCAAGCCGACGCTCTATCCATTGAGCCAAACCGGTTTCGGCTCCTCTCAGGATTTTTTACAGAGAGGAAGGGAGAGGGATAGAGAGTTAAAACATCGATGAGAGAGAATCATCCATCAGCTGCCTCCTGCACACCTCCCAGTCCGCACACCTGGGACCTCCCAGTCCACAGGCTGATGCTCTATCCACTGCACCAAGCTGGTTTCGGCAATAAATTATATTTTTGGTATATGCTATTAAGTATACATTAGTTATATGTAATTAACATATGATTACATAAATATACATTATATCCTATATAATGATATATAATATATGTTATATATGTAGTGTATGTATATATTACATCTAACATATAATAGGCAGGAGGCAGCCAGTTCATGATCCTCGCTCATCCGTTTCTCTCTCTCCCCCTCTCCCTTCCTTTCTTTGGAGCACAAAAGTTTTTCATTTTGATAACGTTTCCATTATTGCTTGCTTGTGCTTTTTGCTGTGCTATCTAAGAATCCTCTGCCAAGTCCAAGGTTATGAAGATTTATCGCTGAGTTTTCCTCTAAGAGTGTAATTGTTTCTGCTCTTAACGTTTGTGTGAGGTAGGGGACCGCTTGTCCTGGAGGAAGTGTTTCACAGCCACTCAGTGTCCGCCTCAGCCCGAAGGAGACAGGGAAATGAGGAGGCAGGAGTGGGTCCCTGCTCTGCTGCTTTTTGTTGTCGGTTCTCACCCGAGGATGTTTTTCTGCGGATTTTTATTTTTTTATTTTTTTATTATTTTTTAAAATATATTTTATGGATTTTTCACAGAGAGGAATAGAGAGTTAGAAACATCGATGAGAGAGAATCATCGATCAGCTGCCTCTTGCACACCCCCTACTGGGGATGTGCCCGCAACCAAGGTACATGCCCTTGCCCGGAATCGAACCTGGGACCTTTCAGTCTGCAGGCCAACGCTCTATCCACTGAGCCAAAGCGGTCCCGGCTTTCTGTGGATTTTGAGAGAGAGTGGAAGGGAGGGGGAGAGACAGGAAGAGACTCACACATCGATTGGTTGCCTCTGACACGCACCCTCTAATCGAGGTTTGTGCTTTTGACTAGAATGGAACCTGAGACCCTTCCATTCACAGGCCAATGCTCTGTCCACTGAGCCAAACCAGCTGGGGCTACTTCATGCTTCTCAAGGGGTACCAGATTGCGAGAGTGCGGTTCTCAGGCGACACCCTGGAATCAGGCTCCCTCCTCTCTTGTTCCGGCTGCCAAGTCACCGCAGCTTGGCAGCTCCTGCAATGAGCATCTGTCCCCTGGTGGTCAGTGCAGGCATAGCTACCGGTAGGATGGTCGCTTAGGCTTTTATATATATAAAATGATTATTTTTTTAATCCTTCTTGGAGGGAATGTTCAATAATTTTTAGAAAGATAGAGGGATGGGGGGAGAGAGAGACAAATATTGATGGGTTGCCTCCCCTATGTGCTTCATTCCCTACTGAATTGATCCCGCGATCTTTCCTTCTATAAGTCGCTCCAAACAACTGTGCCACCGGCCAGGGCTGTGGGACACGTGTTAAGTGCATTGCATCAACTTATAAAAATCAAAAGTCTTCACTTAAAAACATGACCTGATTGCCAGCTTCTCGCCAGAGACTGGCAGCACTGACCGCTTGAGGCCCACATTTCCCCACAGTCAGCTGCCTTTGACACTCGCTGTAACCCCCTTGTCAGAGAGGACAGACCTTGATTGAGTCTGAGGGCTCGTGTGTGTGGTAACGGTAGATGCACAAACAGCAGCCATGTCTGTCGCCCACGGAGCTGCAGGTCAGGAGTGCGGCCTGGTCTCTGCCCGCATCCTCACCTGTCCGAGGGCAGTGGTGGGCCCGCTGTGGGTGGTTCTGATCCCGCTGGCGGCTCTCACGTCCTCACTGTGCAGTCCATACGGATAACAGAAGCCCTGTAGGTGCCAGCAAGACCCGGCTCACATCTCCAGAACGTGCACTCTCTCTAGATCCTGGCTGCCCGTCTCCTCCTCCTCTCCCCTCCTCCTCCTCCTCTTGTGAGCACCGACAGGGCACCCCGGCTGAGGGGCGTGTATGTGACGTTCCAGGAACCCGTGACCTTCCGGGACGTGGCCGTGGACTTCTCCCCGGAGGAGTGGGGGCAGCTGGGCCCTGCGCAGAGGACACTGTACCGGGACGTGATGCTGGAGACCTTCGGGCACCTGCTCTCCGTGGGTGAGCGGCCGCCCGGCACTAATCCTTCACGGGTGACAGGTCGTGGGCCCCGGGCTGGGGACCAGGACTGGGTGCTCCTTCCCGGGGGGGCCTGCAGACAGGGAGGTGTCTGCCCCCCTCTACCCCCCATTGCACACCTTCTCTGTGGTGAGACCCCCGTCCTGGCGTCAGGAGTCGGGCTGGGGTGGGGCTGCTGCTCTGTCCGGACAGAACCCCACATCCCATGCCTCCCTCTGCCTCCAGGCCCTGAACTTCCCAAACCCGAAGTCATCTCCCAGCTGGAGCGGGGTGCCGAGCTGTGGGCGGCGGAGTGGGCACTGGCCCAGGCCTGCGGTCCAGGTGGGGTCCCTGTCTGGGCTGCTGGGAACGGGTGGTGCGTCACGTCCCCCAGACCATCTGCAGACCCAGTGGCCACAGCAGAATGTTCAGGGAGAAGGGCTGGTGAGGCCAAGTCCAGAGGAGGCCACGCTCCAGGTCACTGTCCCCTGGACTGGAGGTCACTGTCCCCACGGGCTGAAGGTCACCGTCCCCACGGGCTGAAGGTCACCGTCCCCACGGGCTGGAGGTCACTGTCCCCACGGGCTGGAGGTCACCGCCCCCACGGGCTGGAGGTCACTGTCCCCTGGACTGGAGGTCACTGTCCCCTTGGGCTGAAGGTCACCGTCCCCGTGGCCTGGAGGTCACTGTCCCCTGGGCTGGAGGTCACCGTCCCCACGGCTGAAGGTCACTGTCCCCTGGGCTGAAGGTCACTGTCCCCTGGGCTGGAGATCACCGTCCCCATGGCTCGAGGTCACTGTCCCTGGTGCTGAGTCAGTGGTGGTGGCTGGAGCAGCCAGAGAAAACGGGTTCGCCTTCACCTCAGTGCCCTCTGCAAGGAGCCCTCCTGGGCCGGAGGCCTCGGACTGCAGCCCCCAGGTGTCCTGAGACCGGCCCCCGCGTGCATGCGGCCTGTGATTCGGGGTTTTCTAAGACCCCCAGGCTGCTGCCCCAGGTTCAGCGTCTGCCTCCAGCCCTTGAGGCGGCTCTCCCTCTGTGCGGTCACTACCTGATCCCCAGCATCTGAGGTCGGAAGCAAGTACTTTAGGCTTTGTGGGCTGCGTGCAGTCTATTTTTTTTTCTTTTTTCTTTTTAATATATTTTATTGATTTTATACAGAGAGGAAGGGAGAGATAGAAACATCGATGAGAGAGTCATCGATCAGCTGCCTCTTGCACACCCCCTACTGGGGATGTGCCCGCAACCAAGGTACATGCCCTTGACCGGAATCAAACTCAGGATCTTTCAGTCTCCAAGCCGACGCCCTATCCACTGAGCCAAACCGGTTTTGGCCAGTCCATTTTCTATAACACACGTTGGGCAGGAGGGCAGGTGGCGGGGTGCAGGCCGAGCTGCAGGGACCGGCTCCTCTCTTCCTTCCCAGCTGCTCAGAGCTCTGCTTTCTTTCAGGCTGGGAGCCGGGACCTGAAGGGCCCACGCCGCCCGCGGGGCAAGTCCTTCCTGAGAAAGCGTTCCCGGGTGCCCCCCGGGAAGGCTGGGGCTGCGGGGGCCGGGTCCCAGCGCCCCCGGAGAACCAGGATGGATCCGGGCCGGCCGAGTGCTGCCTCGAGGAAGCCCCAGCTCCAGGGAGGAGCCCGGAAACCTGCGTCCCCAGCTCGGACCTGGACTTGTGCCCCGAGATTCCCGGGAGCGCCTCCTTCTGTACCTCCGACGTGCAGGCCGCAGACCCGGGGGGTCCCTCCCGCGCCGCCGGCCCGCAGGACCCTCCGCCCGGCCCCCTCGCGGAGCTGGCCCCGGGCCCCGCCCCGGAGAAGCCCTACAAGTGCGCGGACTGCGGCAAGTCCTTCAACCACAACGCGCACCTGACGGTGCACAAGCGCATCCACACGGGCGAGCGGCCGTACACGTGCAAGGAGTGCGGCAAGGCCTTCAGCCAGAACTCGTCGCTGGTGCAGCACGAGCGCATCCACACGGGCGACAAGCCCTACGAGTGCGCCGAGTGCGGCAAGCGCTTCTGCCACAGCACGCACCTCACCGTGCACCGCCGCATCCACACGGGCGAGAAGCCCTACGCCTGCCAGGACTGCGGCCGCGCCTTCAACCAGAACTCCTCGCTGGGCCGCCACCGGCGCACGCACACGGGCGAGAAGCCCTACGCCTGCAGCGTGTGCGGCAAGGCCTTCTCCCGCACCACCTGCCTCTTCCTGCACCTGCGGACGCACACGGAGGAGCGGCCCTACGAGTGCAGCCACTGCGGCAAGGGCTTCCGCCACAGCTCCTCGCTGGCGCAGCACCAGCGCAAGCACGCGGGCGAGAAGCCCTACGAGTGCCGGCAGCGGCTGCTCTTCCAGCAGGCCGCCCTGGCCGCCGCCGCCGCCGCGCACCCCTGGGCCGGCGCCCTGGGCTGCGGCCCGGGCCTGGCCCCCGGCGAGGCCGCCCCGCGCAGCGACCGGCCCTTCCGCTGCGGCCAGTGCGGCAAGTGCTTCGTCCAGAGCTCGCACCTCATCCGCCACCAGGTGACGCACACGCGGGACGGGCCCCGCGGGCGGAGGCGGCGGCGGCAGGAGCAGCCCCCAGGCCGCGGCCCGCACCCTCCACCCCCGCGCACAGGTGAGGACCCCGGGGCGCGGCCGCCGGCCAGCAAGGCGCTCGCCCTGTTTGACATCCACGAGATCCTGCAGGACAGAAAGCCCGTGCACGTGATCGCGGTGGAGCCGCCGCCCGTGGTGGTTGACGTCAAAGAGTCCCCCTAGGAGGCCCCGCAGGGACGGACCCTCCCGCGGGGCAGGAAGCCTGGGCACCCTCTGCTCTCCGCTCCCCCCGGACCTGGAGCTTGGGGACCTCCGTCCGTCAAGCCCCGTGCACCCTCTAGCCCTTATTTCCTACTGTTGCCTCTGGGACCCTGACGTGGGTTCACGGGTCATGTTAAAAAATCAACACAGGCCCCGTTTTGTACACGAAACGAAAGCAAGAGTGATTGCAATGGAGCGACGTGTGCTCAGCGGGCCCGCGTCTCCTGGCCGAGGAGGCCTGGCCGGCCTGGCGGGTGTGAGGTTGGCCAGGAAGCGTGAGGGCAGTCTTGTCCGGGACGTGATTTACTATTATTATTATTATTATTATTAATCCTTACCAGAAGAATGAGAAATAGGAATTTTTCCTGTTGATTTTTTTTTTTAAAGAGAGTGGAGGGGACGGATAGTGAGAGAGAGAAACATTGATGTGCTAGAGTTGCCCCAGCTCGTTCCCCAAAGGGAGCCGCAGATTGAATCTGCAACCAAGGTACGTGCCCTCGACCACAAATCTAACCCTCCACCCTTCCGTCCACAGGCCGGGGCGCTCACACTGAGCACCCGCCGGGCGGGAGGTGCATTTTCAGTGCTGACTCATTCTCGGAAAAGATTTGCGTAAAACAAAGCACCTTTGCGTTTCTGGGAAATTCTGTACAAAATCCTCAGCACGTGGGATTCCTGTGTTTACCTGTGAGGTCAGCTGAGGGTCTCCGTTCGCACAAACAGATGGTTTCATACGGACACGCGAGGTCCCCGGGTCCAGCCTGCACTTCCGGGCATTGGAGCCCCTAAGCCCCGCCCACAGCAGCCACCCCCGCGCCTGAAGCAGAGGCCAGGGAAGCCCCGTGAGACCCCACTATCCCTGGGAAAACCATTGCCTCTTAGCAGCCTGAGCTGCCCCGAGCTGGAGGCTGGCTCTGCATTGGTGAGGTCTGGTTGCTATGACTGAGGGAGGGTAGGGTCCCGCTCCACATCCCATAATGTCCACGCTGCAAAGGTAGGGACACTGCCCAGCGCTAGCCACTATTTCCCAACATTGCTTGATCAGGGCTGAACTAACAATTTTTTACATTTATTTTTGTTTTGTTTTGTTTTTATTTCAGAGAGGAAGGAAGAGGGAGAGACAGAAGAAACATCAATGATGAGAGGGAATCATTGATTGGCTGTCTCCTGCACGCCCCCCACTGGGGATCAAGTCCGCCACCCAAGCACGTGCCCTTGAGCAGAATGGAACCTGGGGCCCTTGAGTCTGTAGGCTGGTGCTCTATCCACTGAGCCACACTGGCGAGGGCTCTTCTTTAGTCTTACATTCATTCCTTCTGGGGGGATTTTGTAGGCACCTCCAGTCTGCTCCTCGCTGTGCCTGGAGGAATGCCCTCTGGTGAGGCCCGGGTGTGCTGGGGCGCCTTCCGAATTGTGTAACCCCCGCCTTGTATGGGGGGGTCTCTGCTGGAGAACATGGTTTATTTCTGTGTGACGCGGGGCGTGCTCACGGGACCACTCATGTTCTCGGTTGCACACTCTGCCTCGTCATCTTATTGCTCCTCCAGTTTTAAACGTGAGTAAAGCCAAGGACTCCAGCTCGGTCCGCGCTGATGTTGGCAGAAAGAGCACCATGATCGGCCAGCTGGTTTGCTCAGTGGCAAGAGCCTTGGCCCACAGACTGAAAGGTCACAGGTTCAATTCCTGCTCAAGGGCACGTGCCTCAGTTGCAGGTTTCCCAGCCCCAGTAGGACACGTGCAGGAGCCAACCAGTCAATGTATCTCTCTCATGTCAATATTTCTCTTCCCATCCACTGTCTCTAGAAAGTAATGGAAAACTATCCACAGGCGAGGATTTAAAAAAGCACAGTGTGGTCAAGGTACGATCCTTGCCCAAGCTGGTGTGGCTCAGTGGACAGCGCATTGGCCTGCGAACTGAAGGGTCCCGGGTTTGATTCCCGGTCAGAGCACATGCCCAGGTTGTGGGCTTGATCCCCAATGTGAGGCATGCAGGAAGCAGCTGATCCATGATTCTCTCATCATTGATGTTTCTATCTCTCTATCCTCCCTTCCTCTCTGAAATCAATAAAAACTATATGTATTTTTTTTAAAAGGGTGTGATCCTTGGAGTCTCATAGGCCAACATTTATAAAAACCCATGTTTGATCCCAGCCAGTGTGGCTCAGTGGTGGAGCATCGAACTATGAACCAGGAGGTCAGGGTTTGATTGGCGGTCGTGTTGTGCACTCGATTCCCAGTGTGGGGCATGTAGGAGGCAGCCGATCCATGATTCCCATCATTGATATTTCTCTCTTTTCCTCTCTGAGATCAATAAAAAACATGTATTTTTTATAAAGTGGTGATGGATTTTATTATGCGTGATGGACACGCAGTGCAACATATAGATCTTGTAACAGAGGCCCACACCTGAAACATGATCATGTTGGCCAGTGTCTCCCCAATAAATGTAGTAAAACAAACCCAGGTTTGAATCTCAGTGGACACCCCTTCCTGCCCCACATCACGTCCTTTGCTCCGAGATGCAGACTCGGCCTCCCTGTTGGCTGTTCCCCCCGCGCCAGCATCGCAGTGAGGTTAGGTACATCCGGGCATGTCCAACGCTGGAAGGAAGCAGCACCGATCCTGCGGAAGACGGGGCGTCCGGACCCACAGGGCCCGGAGGGCAGCAGCCGTGAGAAGATGCTGGGCTGGGGTGCGGAGCTTCAGTGCTCGCTGCCCAGCACGGCCGAGTGTCTGCCTCTGTGGGTGCTGAGGTCACAGGGGGCCGTTTCCATGGTAGCCGAGCTGCTCTGGCTCCTCCCTGGAGGTTCTGCCTAGGAGACCCTGTGCAGCCCAGGTGTGCGTCCCTGCACAGCCTCTGTCCCTTACACCTTGAGGGGCTCCTTGTCCCCTCGCCTCTTAAATGTTAGGCCCCGGGAGCCGTACCCTTGCTCCAGAGCCCTTTCTCAGGGTCTGACCCCCCCACACTCTCCCCCACCCCCTGAAGTGAGAAGGTAAATGAGTTTTGGCCTCTGTGGCCTCCTGCTCTTCAGAACTCACCCCCTGCTCTCTTCCTGCTCCCACTCCCCCAGCTCCAGCCCTGGAGGGAAGGGACAGCCGAGACCTCTGCCATTTCCCCATTTCTCATCTCATGTCACACGTCAAAGGTAAAAATGTGACTTTGACCAGTGTGGCTCAGTGGGTAGAGCATCACCCTGCGTACTGAAGGGTCCCAGGTTCGATTCCTGTCAAGGGCACATGCCCAGGTTGTAGGTTCCATCCCTAGTAGGGGTTGTACAAGCCCTGAAACCGGACTGAAAGGTCCCGGGTTCGATTCCAGTCAGGGACATGTACCTTGGTTGTGGGCACATCCCCAGTAGGGGTTGTGCAAGAGGCAGCTGATCGATGATTCTCTCTCATCAATGTTTCTAACTCTCTATCCCTCTCCTTTCCTCTCTGTAAAAATCAATAAAATATATTTTTAAAAAGTTATATATATAATTGATTTTTTAGAGAGAGGAAGGGAGAGGGACAGAGAGCTAGAAACATGGATGAGAGAGAAACATAGATCAGCTGCCTCCTGCACACTAGGGATGTGCCCGCAACCAAGGTACATGCCCTTGACCGGAATTGAACTCGGGACCCTTCAATCCGCAGGCTGACGCTCTATCCACTGAGGCACACTGGCCAGGGCTGGGCGTTCACTTTGCATGATGTTTGGGGACAGTTCCCTCAGAGTGGCCCCCTCTCCCGCGCGGCGGGGCGCTGTCCGCGGTGCTGAATCGGCCCGCGGTGGCTGAAAAGACTCGATTACAATGACATCCGGTGTCCTGGCCACGCCCGCCTGTCTCCTCCTGCGAGCCGCCGGACTCCACGTTCCCGGGCAGGCGGTCCACGCGCGTTTCCAAAGCTGCCAGTGTCCCAGCTTCCCGGGAGCTTCTCCCCCTGGGGTGGTCTGTGGCCACAGCGGCCAGGGAGCACGCACCTGGGAGCAAGGAGTGCCCATCCCGGGCAGGGACCGCGCATCCCACGGGAGCTCGTATTCTGGGACAGAGTCCTTGCCTCCGTCCCGGCCGCTCCTCCTGCTCCCCCTCCTCCTTCTCTTCTCACCTCTGGGTGGGGCTCAGGATCCTGGCACCAACCGAGGGGGCAGATCTGGGACAGAGGCTCCTGTGGCCGCAGCTTATCAGCCAAAATCCAGAAAACGCCAGAGCGGTGACACACACAGCGCACCCTCCAGGTCATGTGCAATCACACGACAGACTCGTGTGATCCGCTGTATATGGTCACAATGAGACAGACAGACACACACACACACACACCTCACCCCGGCACCCGCATTCCTCACACGCACCTCACCCTCTCGCACCATGCATGGTTCAACCTCCCACGCACGGTCCCACTGCCCCACATAGGCCCACCTGGACTACAACTCCCGGCAGGCCTAGGGCTGCGCGAGGGCTCCTGCGTGCCACCTTCTATGAACTGTAACCCAGGGATACGCCTGGCCCGGGTGGCGCGGTGCATTCCGGGAGTTGTAGTCCAGACGGGTTGCGCGGCGCATTCTGAGTGTTGCGGTCCTGGAGGGGCTGCGTGGCGCATTCTGGGAGTTGTGGTCCCAGCGTTCGGACGCGCTGGTGGGCTCCTCCGTCGGGCGCCTATGCGTCCGCCCCCGGAAGTGTCCCCTCGCCCCTCCGTGAGGTGGGTCCGAGGGGGGTCCCTCTGGAGGCCGGGCCTGGAAGCAACGAGCGTCCGCTGCTCCCCAAAGCCAGACGTGCTGGACGCGGCCGCGGGCGGGCGGCCGGTGTGAGGGGCTGAGTGCCCGGGCGCGGGACCGACAGACGGACCGAGCGCAGGACAGTCCGCGGTGGGGCCCCCTGACGGGGCGCGGGGCCGGCGGGTGGGGGCGCGATGGGCCTACCCCAGCCCGGGGCGCGGGGTCCCCCGGTGGGGGGGGCGGGGGTGTGACCGTCCGGCCGGGTGTGCGGCGCCCACGGGGGCGGCGGCGGGCCGCGGCGGGTGTGTGACCTGAGAGGCTGAGCGGGTGGCTGACCTCGCGTGACCTCCCTCCCCAGGGGCCTGGCCGAGGCGGCGACCCAGAAGGGATGTGCCCCGAGACTGTGTGTTTCTCTATTTTTAAATATTTTTATTGATTTCTGAGAGGAAGGGAGAGGAAAGAGAGAGAAACGTCAACGATGAGAATCATTGATTGGCTGCCTCCTGCGCCATCCGGGCCTGTGCCCTGACCTGGAATCAAACCTAGCACTTCCTGGTTCATAGGTCAAATCTCAACCCCGAGCCACACCCCCCAGCGGGTTGTGTGTTTAGTGTTGTGTATGTGGCAGGGACTGTGTGTGTCTGGCCCTGGCCGGGTCTCGGCTGGTTGGGGCAGCCTCCCCGACACCAAGTGGTTGCAGGTTCGATCCCTGGCCAGGGCCTGTACCTGGGTGGCAGGCTCGGGGTGAGTTTGGGAGGCAACCAATATGTATTTCTCTCTCACATCGATGTTTCTCTCTCCCTCTCTCCCCATTCCGCCCCACCTCTCTCAAATCAATACATTAAAAAAGAAAGAAAGAAAGAAAGAAAGAAAGAAAGAAAGAAAGAAAGAAAGAAAGAAAGAAAGAAAGAAAGAAAGAAAAGAGAGAGAGAGAGAGAGAGAGAGAGAGAGAGAGAGAAAGAAAGAAAGAAAGAAAGAAAGAAAGAAAGAAAGAAAGAAAGAGCGAGCGAGCCCTGGCTGGTGTGGCTCGGTGGATAGAGCGTCGGCCTGCGGACTGAAGGGTCTCAGGTTGAGTCCAGTCAAGGGCACATGACCAGGTTTCAGGCTCAATCCCCAGTGGGGAGGCAGCCGATCCATGATTCTCATCATTGATGATGCTATCTCTCCTTGTCCCTGCCTCTCTGAAGTCAATAAAAATATTTTTTTTTTAAAGAAAAAAATTGTATGTGCCTGGGAATATTTTGGGGTATGACTGACAGACTGCCTGGGATAGGGTGTGAGCATATACCTATGCGATTGACTGTCATGTTTGTCAGGGGGACTGAAGTGTGGAGGATTTGCAGTGTTTTTCAAGTATCTGACAAGGAATTTGTGTTTTGCCTTGTCTGCAGCTGGAACTGTGTGGCCAGCGATTTACGGATATGCCCCCCTGGTGCCTTCTGGGAGCAGGCGTCTGCGAAGGGTCCTCAGAGTCATCATCCTAATGGATGTTCGCTGCACGTTTGCTATGAGCCTGTCCTCATGGATCACTTTGGGTAACCTCACCACCACCCTCTGAGGTGGGTGCCATTATCAGCTCGGGTTCAAGTAAGGAGTGAGAAATGAATTGAACGTGAGACTGACCCTTTGGTCCACAGGCCAATGCTCTATTCCCTAACCCAAGTCGGCTATAGCTGATTATCTTTTTATTTATTTATATATATATTTTTATATACTGTATTTTCCGGTGTATAAGACGACCCCCAAATTTTACAGTTAAAACAGGTTTAGGCCTATATTCGCTGTATAAAACTACCTCCCACTTCCGAGGCAACACCAGTTCTTTTTTTAATTAAATTTTTAATGAATGACATTTTCCGAACTTAACGTAATATACCGTACATTGATACGATAAATAGAAGCTCTCTTCACAAATGGCAATGCCATGAACTTGACCGAGAAACAAGAAATCCAAAAGAGACGTTTTTTGGGATATACTCGGCGTATAAGATGACACCTAATTTTCGGTCGACTTTTTTTCATTTCAAAAGTCGTTTTATATGCCGGAAAATACGGTAAATGATTTTTACCATTTTTTAATATATTTTATTGATTTTTTTACTGAGAGGAAGAGAGAGGGATAGAGTTAGAATCGTCGATGAGAGAGAAACATCAATCAGCTGCCTATGGCACACCCCCTACTGAGGATGTGCCCGCAACCAAGGCACATGCCCTTAGCCAGAATCGAACCCAGGACCTTCCAGTCTGCAGGCTGACACTCTATCCACTGAGCCAAACCAGTTTCGGCTGATTATCTTTTTAGTATACTTTTATTGATTTCAGAGAGGGAGGGAAAGGAAGACAGATAGAAACATCAGCAATGAGAGAGAACCGCTGATGGACTGACTGCCTTCTTACTCCCCACCCTGGGGATCTAGCCGGAAACCCGGGCATGTGCCCTGACTGGGAATCGAACCTTGACCTCTCGGTTCAACCACTGAGCCACACCAGCCGCGCTGCCCTGATTGTTTTGAGGATCTGTTTCCTGTGAGAGCGAGTCTCATGTCCCAGGCCCCAGGCCAGCATCTGCCCTGCTGACTGCGCTCTGATCTCCCTGCAGACCCGCTGCCGTGCTCCTGCCCGATGGCTGCCCCCCAGACCCCCCTGAGCCCTGCCCCCTGGGACCCGGACGGCGTCCTGCGGGTGAAAGTGGAGGATGAAGACGCCAGCCTGCCCCACGCGGCCCGCCCCCAGGAGGAGGAGGAGGCGGCGCGCCTGCGCTTCCGGGGCTTCCGCTACGAGGAGGCGTCCGGCCCCCACGAGGCCCTGGCCCAGCTCCGCGAGCTGTGCCGCCAGTGGCTGTGGCCTGAGGCGCACTCCAAGGAGCAGATGCTGGAGCTGCTGGTGCTGGAGCAGTTTCTGGGCGCGCTGCCCCCCGAGGTCCAGGTCTGGGTGGGGGCCCAGTGCCCCCGGAGCGGCAAGGAGGCCGCCGCGCTGGTGGAGGATCTGACGCGGGCGCTGGACCGGAAAGGTGAGGGGCGGCGGCGGGCAGTGTTCACCGGACACCCCAGGCAGGAGCCGGGCTGTATGGGGGAGCTCAGGAGGTCCTCCGTGGGATTAAGGGCGAGATTCTACAGCCAAAACCCCAGCTTGGCCACTTGCTGTGTGACCTTGTGCAAGTGGCTCAACCTCTCTGAGCTCACGATGTGACCGTGCACCAGTTCCACTGGAAGCCTGTTAGCGGTCAGCAGCCTGGGGGGCCAGAGGGGACTCGGTGTGTTCTTCCTCCCTTACAGACAAGGAAACTGGGGCTAGACGAGGGTCGGATTGCCAGGGCCCCCAGGGCTGGCCAGTGGCAGTCCCGGGGCCTCCCCCTCGCCCCTCCTTCCTGGGATCCTCCCGGAACCCAGGCTCTGAGCTCCCATCAAGGGTAGGCCAGGGCACGTGCCCTTAGCCACACTCCGCCCACCCAGCACCATGGGAAGGCCAGGCCTCAGAGCCAGGCTGGTGTTGCTCAATGGTTAGAGCGGGGCCTGCACACTGGAGGGTGGCAGGTTCCATCCCTGCCCCCAGGTCGGGGCATGTGAGGGGGGCAGCCAGTCCGTGTGTCTCTCTCATGTCAACATCTATCACGTCAATGTTTTTCTCTCTCTCCCACCTTGGAATTAGGTGGGGTGGGTTTTGATGGGATTGGAGGTTCTCAGCAGTGACCCAGGGCCCAGCCTGTGTGCCAGGAGCAGCCCACAGGGCCCCTCTCGGAGGGAAGCCAGTCCCGAGGCTGATGCCCGGGAGGCCGATGCCCCAGGCCTGACGCTGCGGCCGGCTCCCCTGTTTCAGGCTGGAAGCCGGGAGCCGAGCCCCCCGGGGCGAGCTGCAAGCACAGCGATTCGGAGGAGGTGGACTCGGCTGCCCAGGCCCTGGCACCCGGCTTCGGGGACGCCCTCGGACCCCCGGTGAGTGCGGAGGGGACGGCGGGGCGCCCGGGGGAGGTCTGGCCCAAGCCCTGCGCCCAGGAGACGGGTTTCGGGGCCGCTCCGAGGCCTCCCGACACGGCACTCGGGGACCAGCCGGGCTGTGACTCCGGGGCCTCCGGGAACATGCCCAGCGCGTGGTCAGAGGCCTCCTGGCCGGGCAAGGCCGCCTCCCCCGTGGATCCCGGCCCTGTGGACGGTGGTGGCGCCGGCCCTCTGCAGACCCACCAGGGCCGGGCACCCTCCGAGGGCGGGGAGCGCGGGGAGACCTTCCCCAGCGCCGGGACCGTGGCCGCGCACAGGAGGGGCCACGCCCGCAAGACGCCCCACACCTGCGGCGATTGCGGCAAGGCCTTCGGCCGCAGCACACACCTGGCCCAGCACCGCATGGTGCACACGGGGGCCAAGCCGCACGCGTGCCCGGACTGCGGCCGCGCCTTCCGCCGGGCCGCCCACCTGGTGCAGCACCGGCGCATCCACACCGGGGAGAAGCCCTTCGCCTGCGGGGACTGCGGCAAGGCCTTCGGCCGCAGCACGCACCTGGCCCAGCACCGGCGCACGCACACGGGCGAGCGGCCCTACGCCTGCGCCGCCTGCGGCCGGGCCTTCAGCCAGAGCGCGCACCTGACCCAGCACCGGCGCACGCACACCGGGGAGCGGCCCTACGCCTGCCCGGCCTGCGACAGGGCCTTCAGCGACTACTCGGCCCTGATCCGGCACCTGCGCATCCACTCCGGGGAGAGGCCCTACCGCTGCCAGGCCTGCCCCAAGGCCTTCGCGCAGAGCTCCTCCCTGACCGAGCACCAGCGCGTGCACACGGGCGAGAAGCCCCACCGCTGCGGGGGCTGCGGGAAGGCCTTCAGCCGCAGCTCCGCCCTCCTGGCGCACCTGCGGGCCCACGGCCCGGCGCTCAGGTGACCGGCCCGCCGCCGGGCCCCGGAGCGAAAGGGAGATCCGGAGTTCCCAAGGAGCCAGGAAGAAGGGGGCGGGGCACCGAGGACTCCCCTGGAATGAGGAGGTTCTGAAGGGCAGACTTGGGGCTGGTCCTCAGCCAGGGCAGGGGGTGCGCCTCTGCCGGGACTCGGTGGTCTCAGGGCGACGATCTGGGCCAAGTTCACACTCGGGGTCCTCGCCTGCCTAGCCCGGGGGGACGCTGCCCACGCTACCTCTGTGCCTTTTGTTTTTTATTATTTATTTTTACTTTTCTGGTTCTCACTCGAAGATACTTTTTCATTGATTTGTAGAGAATGGAAGGATAAGGAGGAAGGAGGGAGGGAGGGAAAGAGGAAGGGAGAAACATCGATTGGAGAGAGAAGGGTTGGTTGCCTGCCACACACGCCCAGACCAGGGCCAGGAAGGAACCTGCAACCCACGGACGTGCCCTTGGCGGGGAGTGGAACCCTTGGGTGGCAGGGCCAGCGCTCTACCCACTGAGGCCACCAGCCAGCTGAGCCTTCCCACCCGCTGCTCCTCCTCTTCACGCCTCTTCACGCCCAGGCCGGCTGGGGAGTCCGCCTCCTGCTCCCACCGCCGCTGGGGGCGCTGCTGATCCTCCCCGGGAGGCATTCCTCTGCTCCCGCCCCGCCTGCCGCTCCCCACCAGCCCGTGCGTTCTGCCTGCCTCTTCTCCTTTGTTTTCTCCACCTTCGGAACCTCACGTGCACCGAGCGTGGTCGCCTTTTGTGAGCGTGGTGGTAGGAAATGGTTCCCAGCCCGCCCGCAGGGATGAAGCTCGAGCCGCTGTGCCTGCCACTCGGGGGCATTCGCGATGCGGCCCCACCGGCCACGGGCACGGCTTGCAGCTCGTGAAGAGGCCGTGTTTCCTGCTCACGCGCCTTTGTCTCTGTGTCCGCGGCTCCCCTCTCCTGCACCCGCCACCCGGTCACGCCTTCTGGAGCGCAGCGTGTGTCCCGAGAGGCCGTGAGCTCCCGAGAGCAGGGCCACGTCTCCTTCTCTGACCCGCCAGGTGTTTCCGCAGGACAGGGCAGGCCCCGACGCCTGTCGGTTGGATGCACGGCCGGTGCTGACACCTTCCCAGGCGGCTGCGTGTATGTGTGTGTGTGTGTGTGTGTGTGAGAGAGAGAGAGAGAGAGAGAGAGTGTGTGTGTGTGTGTGTGTATGAGAGAGAGAGAGAGAGAGAGATTGAGAGAGTGTGTGTGAGAGAGAGAGAGAGTGTGTGTGTATGCTAGGCTGTCTCCCACCACCGTGGCTCCACAAGAGCAAGAGCAACCAGATGTCCCAGGGTCCCAGCACTCAGCGGCCTCAGTAAAACGTTACCGGCCCGGCCTGGCCTGCCTGGCTCTGAGGATGAGTGTCAACCTATGAACCAGGAGGTCACAGTTCCATTCCCTGTCAGGGCACTTGCCCGGGTTATAGCTCCATACCCAGAAGGCCGGTCAGTTCTTCTCATCATGTTTCTATCTGTCCCTCTCCCTTTCTCTCTGAAATCAATAAAATTGTATTTAAAAAAAAAAAAGAAAAGAAAAAGACCAACCAAGGAGAACAGGAAGGCTAAGCTCCTGGGAGACAAAGATCTTGTGTCAGTATCTTCACGAGAGTCCCACACACACCTGGATGCAGACAGATGTCCACACACAAGGCACTGAGGCGGACAGGTGGAGAGCAAGCTGGTGGACATAGGGAGGAACTCTTGAGACATGGGACATAGGATCCCAGGGAAATGGCCACTCGGGCCTGGGACAGGCTGCGGGTCTTGGAGGAGACAGACATGAGCCTGCAGTTCGGCTGCAGGGGAACCTGGAGTAGGGGTTCCCCCTCAACCTGGGGGACCTGCTCTGTGTGGCACCTGACCCAGGGCCTGGCCCGGCTCTGTCCGGCATGTCTCCACCTCCCTCTGCTCAGCTCGTCCAGCTCTGTCACTGAGGAGTGGACTCCAGCTGACACTCAGACTCTCCAGGTGTGTGTCTGCCCATGTGTGTCCACAGCAGCAGGAGGGTCCTAGCTGGTTTGGCTCAGTGGATGGAGCATCGGCCTATGGATTGAAGGATCCCAGGTTGGATTCCGGCCAAGGGCACACACCTGGGTTGTGAGCTCGATCCCCAGTAGGGGGTATGCAGGGGGGCAGCCCATCAATGATTCTCATTATTGATGTTTCTCTCTCTTCCTCTCTGAAACCAATATAAATATAAATAAATCAGAAAGAGGGTGAATTGGGGGAGGGCGGGTAGGGGAAGGAGTCTTTGTTCTTAATCCTCACCTGGGATACTTTTCCATTGATTTTTAGAGAGAATGCAAGGAAAGGAGAAACATCGGTATGAGAGAGACACCCCTTAGCTGCCTCCCACATGAGCTGGGCATTGAGCCAGCAACCAAGGTATGTGTCCTTGAACCTGGGGCCTTTCGGTCTCCCAGCCAATGCTCTACCCATTGAGCCAAACCGGCTAGGGCCGGGATCTTTATTCTCAATGTTTTCGTTGATTTCACAGAGTGTCCACGGGCAAAGGGGGCTCAGATCTGAGGGGCAGAGAACAGAGGGGAGTCCCATCCCTCTCTCCCAGGGGAGATCTGGCCTTTGGCAGGGACACAGCCCAGCACCGCCACCTGGTGGCCGCTCCACAAAGTGCAGCCTCCCAACTGCCTCCCTGGGTGGGGCTGGTTGGGTCCAGGTGGGAGGGGGTGGGTGTGTCTGGAGCCCCCAGCTCCCTACCCAGCAGCCAGGGAGGGAGGCATCCGGGTGCAGGAAGAAAGTCTGGAAAAGATGGGCTCTAGCCCGGCCGGCGGTGCGTAGTGGTTGAGCATCAACCTATGAACTAGGAGGTCACAGTCCAATCCCCAGTGTGGGGCCTGCAGGAGGCAGCCGGTCAGCGATTCTCTGTCATCACTGATGTTTCTCTCTTCCTCTCTGAAATCAAAACATTAAAATGAAAAAGGTGGACCCTGAAACCAACCCGAGGCCCCAACCCAGCACCCGCCCCCCCTTCTGGACACAGGGTCCCAGCCCAGGTCCCTCAGCCAGGGCACCCGCCCTGCCGCAGGGCTGCCACTGGCGGGAGACGCGTTTCACAGTCTTTTCACATTTATTAACTCCCAGGAGGAATGAGAGCTGCTCCCCTCCGCACACTCCCCGCCCCGGGGGCGTGCAGCCAGCAGCAGCAGGAAGGAGCAGGGGGGCGGGGACCAGGACACCCTCAGCAGCCTGGGTCTGAAACCGGATCAGGGTTCTGGAAAAAATTGGCAAAAGAGAAATGGTAGGAGGGGAAAGCCTGGGTGCAGACCTCCCCAAGCCCTGCAGGAAGGAAGCAGCTGAGTCGGCTGCTCCCCCACTGCCCGGGCCTCCCTCCCGGTGCTCGCTGCCCCAGGGCCTTTGCACCTGCTGTTTCCCAGGGCACACCCGCCCCACAGAGGACGCGGTCTGGGCGGGGGTGCAGGGTGCGGAGGAGCCCGGCTCCCCGAGCCCGGAGGGCCTCACCTGCCACCTGCAGCTCCACGGGGTCGCTCAGCTCGGACACCAGGGGCCAGCGGGAGCGGTAGCGGCAGTTGTAGTTGCCGGCGTGCTGGGGCCCCACGTAGGGGAGCACCAGGTCCTCGGAGGGGCCGTAGGCCGAGGCCACCACCTCGCCGGCCGCCAGCAGCTCCAGGGACGTGTGGGCCACGGGCTTCTCGCAGCGCAGGGCGGCGTCCTGGCCCGGCCTCACCTTCCCGCTCCACAGGGCCCGCAGCCGCGGCTTGGGGAGGGGGCCTGGGGGGGGCGGGCGGGGTCCGGCAGGTCAGCCCCCCTTCCCGCTGCAGCCACCCCGGCCCCAGGCCCTCCCCTCCCCCCGGAGCCCAGGCTGGGGGGAGCCGGCCCTCCCCACCCACCGCTCTCCCCTGTGTCCCTGGAGCCCGAGGCCCTGGGAGTCCCCCAGACCCAGGCCGGGTTCTGCTGCTCTTTGGGGGGGCAGGGGGTCCCCTCATGTGGCCCCAGGGCCCCAGGTGAGGGAAGGGAGACTTGGTGGTGGAGGTGGGGTTCCCCGAAGATTGAAGGTCAGGAGGCAGGCCCTGCGCCCCAGCCTCTGCCCTGTGGGGACCTGGGTGAGGACATGGGAGGGACAGGCCGACCCCAGGGCCCCGGGGGGCACCCATGACCCTTCACCCCGCGCACAGGCCTCGGTGGGGGGCTCACAGGGAGACACCAGCACCGCTACTGGCCCCGGGGAGTGTGTCCTCCCAGGAACCAGGAGGTCCGGGTTCGAATCCCACTCAGGGCACCTGGCCAGGCTGCGGGCTCGACCCCCAGTCAGGGGCGTGGGGGAGGCAGCCGATCAGTGATTCACTGGTGCTTCTCTCTCTCTCCTCCCTTCCTCTCTGAAGTCAATAAGATACATGAATAAATAAAGCCCTCGCTGGCATTCCCGGTGGGCAGAGCCCGCCTGCAGACCAGAGGGGCCCAGGTTCGGTTCGGTCCAGGGCGCCCGCATGTGCCTGAGGCCGCCAATCAGCGTGTTTCTCTCACACGGATGTTCCTCTCTGGCTCTCCCTCTCCCTTCCACTTTCTCTTAAAAAAAAAAAAATCAATGGGAAAAATATTCTCAGGTGAGGATTTTTTATAAAATAAAATAAAAAATAATAGCCGAGCCGAAGCCGGTTTGGCTCAGTGGATAGAGCTTTGGCCTGCAGACCGACAGGTCCCGGGTTCAATTCCGGTCAAGGGCATGTACCTTGGTTCCGGGCACATCCCCAGTAGGGGGTGTGCAGGAGGCAGCTGATGGATGTTTCTAACTCTCTCCCTTCCTCTCTGTAAAAAATCAATAGAATAAATAAAGCAAGGGCAGACAATTTTTTAAAAGTAAGAATAAAAAATTAAATTAAAACATAATAAAATGAATATTAAGTAAAATGAGAATATTTATATTGTTAACAGGCTGCACGGGGACACTGAGGCTCGGGCGGTGCAGAGCCTGGTGGGGGGACCCCGGGCCTCACCGTCCCACCGCAGGTCCAGGGCGGCGCTGGGCGCGGAGCCGGCGGGCGCGGGGCCCGCGTACACGCAGCTGTAGTTGCCCGAGTCCAGCGGCGACAGGTCCCGCAGCTCAAAGCGGGCCTCGGGGCCCTCCGGGCTCTGGACGCCCCGCACCCGGCGCCCGCTCCGGTCCTCCTGCACCAGGGCGAAGCGGTGCCCGGCCCCGGGCGCCCGGCACCGCAGCTGCACCCGCGTGCCCCGCCCGAGGCCCGGGGTGCTGGACTGGGCCGAGATCGCTGGCGCCGGCAGCGAGCCTGCGGGGCGAGGGGCGACTGTGACCCTCCGTCCGGCCTCCCAGCCCCTCTGCTTGTCTGCAACCCAGCGGCCTGGCTCCGAGGCCCAGCCCCAACCCAGGAGCCCCGAGGCCACAGGGTCAGCTCCCCGAGGTCACAGGTCAGTTCCCCGAGGTCACAGGTCAGCTCCCCGAGGCCACAGGGTCAGCTCCCCGAGGTCACAGGTCAGTTCCCCGAGGTCACAGGGTCAGCTCCCAGGCCCCATCCCCCGGTGGTCCCTGATTCTCTGTCCCCATGGATTTCTCTCCCGCTCCCTTCCTCTCTGAGATCAATGACAGTAGATTAAAAAAAATAATAATAAAAGAGCCCTGGCCGGTGTTGCTCAGTGGATAGAGCACAGGCCTACGGACTGGAAGGTCCGGTGTTGGACTTTGGTCAAGACCACATGCCAAGTTTGTGGGCTCCATCCCCCGTCAGGGGCGTGCAGGAGGCAGCCGGTCCATGATTCTCTCTCCTCATGGATGCTTCAGACTCTCTCCCTTCGTGTCTAAAATCAATATATATAATTATATATATATATGTTGATTTTAGACAGGATATATATTATTATTGCATATTATTGCAATATATATCATTATTATTGTTATTGTTATTGTTATTATTATTATTGCATATGCAACCAGTTTGGCTCAGTGACTAGAGCATTGGCCTGCGGACTGAAAGGTCCCATGTTTGATTCCGGTCAAGGGCATGTACCTTGGTTGCAGGCACATCCCCAGTAGGGGTGTGTGCAGGAGGCAGTTGATGGATGTTTCTCTCTCATCGATGTTTCTAACTCTATCCCTCTCCCTTCCTCTCTGTAAAAAAAAAAAAAAAAAAAAAAAAATCAATAAAATTAAGGTGACCATGCCACGGCCGGTTTGGCTTGGTGGATAGAGCTTCGGCCTGTGGACTGAGGGGTCCCGGGTTCAATTCCGGTCAAGGGCATGTACCTTGGTTGCGGGCACATCCCCAATGGGGGGCGTGCAGGAGGCAGCTGATGGATGTTTCTAACTCTCTATCCCTCTCCCTTCCTCTCTGTAAAAAATCAATAAAAATATTTTTTTTAAATAAAGAAAGCGGGCAGACCGGGGCAGGGAGAACGTTTTGTCCTCCAGCTGGGGCGCCCCCCCCCCCCCCGCGGGGCCCCGCTCACCGTCGCTCAGCAGCAGCTCCACGGGGGCGCTGTCCGGGGACCAGGCGGCGCCCTCCTCGCGCAGCCGGTAGCGGCAGGTGTAGAGGCCGGCGTCCTGGGCCTTCAGCTCGAAGTTGATGCGGTCGGGGTAGGTGCCCCAGCGGCTGCCGCTCCGCTCCTCCTGGCCCCCGCGCCGCAGCTGGAACTCCATGCCGTCCAGGGGGGCCTTGCAGCTCAGCGAGAACTTCTCACCTGGGGCCAGCACCGCCACCTCCCCGTCCCTGCCCACGCTCAGCCTGGGCGCTGGCGGCTGGGCTGCAAGGCAGGGGGCAGCTGGGCGCTGGGGTCCCCCACCCCTTGTCCCCCCCCATCCCCAGCCTGCAGCCTCCAGTCCCCTCTGGCCTCCAGGAGCCACCTCCTCCAGGCAGCCCTCCGGGTGTCCCCACCGGGGCTCACCCATGTCCTCCACGGCCACGGGGGCGCTGGGGTCCCCCACCCACACCCCATTCCCCCAGGAGGCCCAGCTTGCAGCCCTCCACTCACCCCACAGCCCCCGGGCCATCCCACCGCCCCACTTGGGCCCCTGTGTGCCAGGCCCAGGCCTTGGCAGGGGCGCTCAGGGTCAGGGTCGGGGGGTGGGGGGAACCCCACAGCTCCAGCTCTGGCCTCCGGGAGCCGCCTCCTCCAGGCAGCCCTCCGGGTGTCCCCCCGGGGCTCACCCATGTCCTCCACGGCCACGGGGGCGCTGGGCTCGGAGGGGGTGCCGCCCTCGTGGGTGCGGTAGCTGCAGGTGTAGTTGCTGGCCCGGAGCACCCGGAAGGCGGCCTGGTTGGCCTGGGGGGCCTCGGCCACCTCGAGGAACTGGGGGTCCCCCTCCCGCTGCAGCAGGAAGGTCACCCCGAGGAGCCCCGCCCGGCACAGCAGCGTGGTGGTCAGGCCCGGCGTGACCCAGGCCACGGGCGAGCTGGAGAGCTTGGGCGCGGGCAGGGTCCCTGCGGGCGGAGAGGGGGAGAGGGGGTGAAGGGAGGGTGTTGGGGTGACCTGGGCGGCTGCCCCTGGAGCCCCTCCCCCACACAGGCCCCGCCCCCCAAGGGGCCCCCACCACCCTGATGGGGTGTCAGCCCTGTCCCCCAGCTGTCCCCACCCTCATAAAGGGCAGGTGGCCAGACAGCCTCCCTGCAGCCTCTCCCCCTGGCCTCCTGCCCCTGATGGGCCTCCATCACCCTGATTGGCCCAGAGCCCTTCCCGGCCCGGCCCCCAATCACGGGTAAGGCCCCCAGCCAACTTCCTGCCAGCTCCTCCCAACAGGCCCAGCTCTGAGCTGCCCGGATTGGGGTCAGGCCGGCAGGACCGCACCTGTGCACGAATTGGTGCACCGGGCCTCTGGTGCTATAATAAACTAGAGGCCCAGTGCACGAAATTCCTGCCCTCAGAGAGGGTCCCTCCCTCTGGCCTGCACCCTCTCGCAGGCCGGGAGCCCTCAGAGGATGCCAGCTGATGGCTTAGGCCCAAGGGGAGTGGGCGGAAGCCGGCTCTGACATCCCTAGTGCTGCCTGGGAGAGGCTCCCACAGCCACCACTGCGCTCCCTGGCTTCCGGGGGAGCCAAGCTCCCCCTGTGGGAGCGCCCTGACTCCCAGGGGCCAGCTACCCTCATTGAGCATCTGCCTGCCCCCTGGTGGTCAGTGTGTGTCATAGTGACCCGTCGTCTTGCCATTTGGTTGATTTGCATATTAGCCTTTTATTACCTGGGATAGATAAATACATAGAGGGAGCCAGAGAGAGAGGGACAGGGACATAAGACAGGAGGAATGGCCGAGGCCGGTGTGGCTCAGTGGATAGAGCGTCGGCCTGCGGACTGAAGGGTCCCGGGTTCGATTCCGGTCAAGGGCATGGACCTCGGTTCTCGGCTACATCCCCAGTAGGGAGTGTGCAGGAGGCAGCTGATAGATGATTATCTCTCATCAATGTTTCTAACTCTCTCTTCCTCTCTGTAAAAAAAAATATATTTTATATATAAAGAGAGAGAGAGAGAGAGAGAGGAGGAAGGCATATGACAGGCCCTACTGTGTGCCAGGCCTGCCCTAAGCCTGGGAACTCAGTTATTTTATTCCTCAGCAACCCTCTGGGGTGGGTACAGAAACCACCTCATGTTATAGATGGGGAAACTGAGGCTCAGCAATGCCAGGGCCCTGCCCAAAGCCCTCTAGCTGCTCAGGGGCAGGGGGTCCGACAAGGGCAGGGGGGAGGGAGGGAAGGAAAGAGCCCCCACTCACCTGGCCCCGTCACCTCCACCGGGTTGCTCAGCGAGGTCCACCTGTCGGAGCCCAGGGCGCAGCAGCAGCGGTACAGGCCTTGCAGGCCCTCCGACACCGCCCCCAGCGGGAAGCGCCACTCGGTGGCCCCCTCATCCAGGTGCACCTGCCCCACGGCCACGCCGTCCTTGAACAGCTGGAAGTCTGAGGTGTCCAGTTGCGCCCGGCAGACCAGGGTCAGGTCGGCCCAGGGCTCCCGCAGCGAGCCGGCCTCGGCCCACAGGTCCGGGCGGGGATCAACAACTGTGTGTAGGGAGAGGCATGGAGGTCAGAGCCAGGCAGGGGGACAGGGGCACTCCCCTGTGTGCTCCCACCGTCCCCAGAACCCCATGTACCCTGGGATCCCCCACACCGTCCTAGGTCCCCCCAGTCCCCCACACCGTCCCAGCCCAGGCCCCGACTCACATGTGGCCGCCTCGGCTGCTGGGCCCAGGGAGAGACCTGTGGGGACAGGCGCATGAGGCCCCCATTCCTGCCCCTTCCTGCCCTCTCCCTCCGCCTAAGGGGACCCAGGCCCAGGCGCCTCACCCCAGAGCAGCAGGACGGTGGCCAGCATGGACATGGTGTGAGTCCCGTCCGGCGGGCCAGGGCGGTCATAAGGCCTGAGTGGGGAGGGAGGGGGCAGCAGGTCACTGACCCCTCCTGCTGTTTGTCCTCCCCAAGGCCAGGGGCATGTGTGTGGGTGGATGTGTGCAGAGGGGGTGGGTGGCAGGGAGAATCCCTGCCGCTCCAGGAACCTCAGCAACAGTAAATACCCTTAAAAAGGAGCTAAGAATAAACAATAAAGGACGGCCCTAGCCAAATTGGCTCAGTGGATAGAGCGTTGGCCTGTGGACTGAAGAGTCCCGGGTTCGATTCCCATTCAAGGGCACACGTCTGGGTTGCGGGCTTGATCCCCAGTAAGGGGGTGTGCAGGAGGCAGCCAATCCATGATTCTCCCTCATCATGGATGTTTCTTTTTTCTTTTCATTTTTTTCTTTCTTCTTCTTATTTATTTATTTATTTATTTTAAATATTTTATTGATTTTGTACAGAGAGGAAGGGAGAAAGATAGAAACATCGATGAGAGAGAAACATCGATCAGCTGCCTCTTGCACACCCCCTACTGGGGATATGCCCGCAACCAAGGTACATATTCTTGACCGGAATCGAACTCGGGACCCTTCAGTCTGCAGGCTGACGCTCTATCCACTGAGCCAAACCGGTTTCGGCTCTTTTTCTTTTCTTTTCTTATCTTTTTTTTTTTTAAATATATTTTATTGATTTTTTACAGGGTGGAAGGGAGAAGGATAGAGAGTCAGAAACATCAAGGAGAGAGAAACACAGATCAGCCACCTCCTGCACACCCCTCACTGGGGATGTGCCCACAACCAAGGTACATGCCCTTGACTGGAATCGAACCTGGGACCCTTCAGTCCGCAGGTCGATGCTCTATCTACTGAACCTCATGGGCCAGGGCCCCGGGGAAAGGGGCCCCTCAGCCAGGACTGAGGATGGGGGGACCCTCACACCCCCTTCCTCCCGGTGCAGCGGGAGCCGCAGGGTGAGCTGGGGCCGCTCACAGGGAGGCAACGAGCAGGGGGAGGGCAGGTGCCCATGTTTCTCAGCGCCACCCCTGGGGGCACCAGGGCTTGGGTAACGGTGCATTCTGGAATCCCTCCCCCCCCCAGCTGGGGCCCAGACCCCGCCGGCAGGCGGCCAGGGGCCTGTGCTCCGGGCAGAGGAACGACGGGACCTGGACGCCTGTCCGGACCCTGTCTCAGGGCTTCCTAGGAATCAGGGGTCACGGCTGCTGGCCTCATGTCCCGGTTTGCACAACAGCCGGCCCCGGCCAGCACCTGCGTGACCTCGCTCCGGGAGCCCCAGAGGTCAGAGGCCAGGGCCCCCCAGGGCGGGGGGACAATGCGCCGGCAGCTGCCAAATTTCTTTGGAGAGCCAAATTTTTTAAACTTTAACTTCTTCTAATGCCACTTCTTCAACATAGACTCGTTGGGGGGGGGGGTGTGTGACTTCAGGTCAGGTACCAAGCTGTGTGCCCCCCCTGCCCTTGTTCGGAGCTGGGGAATGCCTGAGTGACCCTCAAACGCTGGGGCCATTTCTTTTTTTTTTTTTTTTAACTTATTTTAAAAAAATATATTTTATTTGTTTTTTTGTGATACTTTTTAAAAAATATATATTTTATTGATTTTAGAGAGGAAGAGAGAGGGAGAGGGAGATAGAAACGTCAATGCTGAGAGAGAATCATGGATCGGCTACCTCGTGCACATCCCCCAATGGGGATTGAGTCCACAACCCAGTCATGTGCCCCTGGCCGAAATCGAACCCGGGATCCTTCTGCCCGCAGGCCGACGGTCCATCCAATGAGCCAAACTGGCCAGGGCCTTTTTTAAAAATATATTTTATTGATTTTTTAACAGAGGGAGAGTGATAGAGAGTTAGAAACATCGATGAGAGAGAGAAACGTGGATCAGCTGCCTCTTGCATACCCCCCACTGCCTCCTGCACACCCCCTACCTGGGACCTTCCGCTCTATTCACTGAGCCAAACAGGTTTCGGCTAAGGGCATGTACCTTGGTTGTGGGCACATCCCCAGTAGGGGGTGTGCAGGAGGCAGCTGATTGATGTTTCTAACTCTCTTTCCCTCTACCTTTTTCTCTGTAAAAAATCAATAAAAGATATTTTAAAACATTTTTAAAAAATAGATCCAGCCCTAATCGGCTTGGCTCTGTGGATAGAGATCAGCCTGCGGACTGGAAGGTCCAGGGTTCGATTCCGGTCAAGGGCATGTATCATATCTTGGTTGTGGACATATCCCCAGTGGGGAGTGTGCAAGGGGCAGTTGATCAATGTTTCTAACTCTCCCTCTCCCTTCCTCTGTAAAAAAATCAATAAAATATATTTTTTTAAAAAGAGGTGTGGGTGAAGAGCTGGCACTTGCTCTCCACGATGGCCTCCGGGGTCACTGGGTTTGGCTGCAAAGAGGTCGGGGGTCCCCACCACCAAGCCGACTCCCTGCACCGGTCCAGGGACCTCAGCATCCACTCCGGCTCCAGAGGGACCCGAGGGGGCGGGGCCTGTTGCCTAGCAACCCCTGGGCGCATCCCTAGGCCCACAGGATAACGGGGATGGAGAAGCCATGGAGGGGGCCCCGGACTGGGTGATGGGTGCGGCTGAACAGGAAAACGTCTCCTCCCTGGGACGCAGGCCCGCAGCAGCCCCGAGCTTGCGAGTGGGGGGAAGGGGACCCCCTCGCGTGGTGCACGCGCATGCGCAAACGCGCGCGCGCCCGGCGGCCGGGACCAGCGGAAGGCAGTCGTCATCACAGAACCCCACGCCGCCGCCCGAGCCTGTGTGGCTGTGTGTGTGCCGGGGAAGCGGACACCACGAAAAATGAGATGATGTCCGACGGACTCGCCCCGCTCGGAACATCAGGTGGGATGAGAAATCAGAGGCCGAACGCGGTAGCGAACGCTCGCGGGACGCCTGCCCTCAGTAGACATGGCGGCGCTGGCCTCAAGGTGGCCTCTGCGCTTGCGCAGAATCCCTCAGGGCCGGACCAGTACTAGATGCCAGACTTCCGCCAGACTTGGTAATGAGTACGCTTCTGCATGTGCGCATGCGTCCGCAATTCACGCATCCCGCGTTCGCCAATGACGCCTTTCCGTTCTCGTCCTGGATTGGCTCATGAGGCCAGCCCGGTGACCCGGAAGTGTTCGTCCCTGTTAAAAGCGGAGGCCTGCGACCCGCGGCCTCTTCCTGTCTGTGTCAGCGGAGCGCGTGGTCCACGCCGAGCGACCAAGACGCCCCAGACGCCCCGGCTACACGCTAAGGTGAGGCCGCCGCGGGGTCCGGGGGTCCGATGGGCGCTCCAGAGCTTCCAGGGGAGCCCTGGGCTGGCCCCGAGGCCGGGGTGTTCCCGTGGGAGCCCTCGCCCGCCTCTGGTTCCGGGAAACGTGCGGAGGGACACGAGGAGCGCGGGGAGCAGTGGGAGCCCTGCCGGCCGCCGTAGCTCTGCTCGCCGCCGGGCCGCGGAGTGTGGATCGGCCTGTGCGACCCCGCGTGGACACGGGGGGAGTCCCCGTTATTCCGGGGTGCACGATGCGCTCTCCGCTCTGCACACGGTTTTCTCGTTAATAACGGCCCCCCCCCCTCCCCCGGTGCCCGTTAGTGCCGGACGCGGCCATCGGCGTGGCCCTGCTCCGCACCGCCCTACTCGATGGCAGAGAACGAGTCGGCTCTGCTCAGGGGGAAGCAGAGTCCATGCTGTTGGCTCCCACAGAGGCGCTGAGCTCCTGGAACCCGGGGGTGGGGTTGGCACTGCAGCCGGTGCCATGCCGGGGCCTTGGGCATCGCCGGCGCCGCTGGGGCCCGTGCAGCGGTGGGGACCCCAGGGCCCCCCTTCCATGGCTCAGGGAGTGGGGGCAGCCTCCCAGGCCGCCCTAGGTCCCAGGCGATGAGCCCGGCCATGCGGTTCCGCCCCCAGGATGAACGAGTGGGAGACGGCGGCGCCCGCGGTGGCCGAAACGCCCGACATCAAGCTGTTCGGCAAATGGAGCACCGACGACGTGCAGATCAATGACATCTCCTTGCAGGTGAGGGGACTCGCAGGTTGGGCCCCAGCTCGGGGTTGGGGGCGTGCGGGGGGCTTTCAGGGGGTGGGGCACTGGGGATGTGGAGCTGTCCTGCGGGTCTGTCCTGAGCTGAAGAAATGACAGGTGAGAGGGACCACACCCCCTCCAACCCCCCTCTCCGGATCCGTTTTTCCTTGTGTGCGGTGCAGAGGCTGCTAGAGTTTCGTGTTTTTTTAATGCTTTCAGGAGGGTATGCTCATCGATTTCATTATTTTTTTGAAATATATTTCATTGATTTTTTTACAGAGAGGGATAGAGAGTTAGAAATATCAATCTGCTGCCTCCTGCACACCCCCTACCGGAGATGTGCCTGCAACCAAGGTACATGGCCTTAGCCGGAATCGAATCCGAGACCCTTCAGTCCCCAGGCTGTTGCTCTATCCACTGAGTAACACCAGTTAGGGCAAAATGGGAAAGAAAAAAAAACATATACATATATATTTTTTCAATAAAAATACATTTTAAGAAATAACAATGAAGCCCTAGCCGGTTTGGATCAATGTTTCTCATTTATGTTTCTAACTTTCCCTCTCCCTTCCTCTCTAAAAAAATCAATAAAATATATTTTTTAAAATATACATACATATGTATGTATATACACATATAGATTGATTTCAGAGTAGAAGAGAAACAGAGAATCATCACCAATCAGCTGCCTTTTACACGCCCCACACTGGGGATGGAGCCTGTAACCCAGGCCTGGGCCCTGACCTCCTGGTTCATAGGTCAATGCTCAACCCACTGAGCAACACCAGCCGGGCTGCTTACTGGTTTTAGAAATAAAGAAACACCCATGGTTACCTGCTGTGTGTGCCACCCAGCACCAGGGACTGAGCCACAGCCCTTTGGTGTCCGCTGACGGTTCAGCCTGCCGAGCCTGGGGCTGGGGCCCTGCAGCTTCTGTAGTAAAATGCACATAACCCATCATCTAAAGTACAAGGGTCCAACATCATTCTTTTGCCCGTGGAAATCCATTTGTCCCAACACCTGGTTTTGCTTGTTTTCAGTTCTGCACATTTTATTTAACAAACTTGGGCCACAGAGTGTTTGTCATTTAAATCTCTTCTATACGCTGCATCTCTGTTTCCAAGGAAACTTGGTTAAAGGGCATTTCCCCTGTTGAATGGTTGTGGCACCCTTCTTACTTATTTTTAAAAAAATCCTCACCTAGGCTGACTTCATTGATTTCTAGAGAGAGAAAAATGTCAAAGTTTGAGAGGCACATCAATTGGCTGCCTCTCACCCATACCCCTCCTGCGGCCAGGGAACCTGCAGCTGAGGGGCGTGCCCTTGACCTGAGTCAAACCCAAGACCCTGAGCAAATGGGTTGGAGTGGTGCCCGCTCCTTTGATTCTGCCATTTGACTCTAAGTCAGTCTGCGCAGCTGTGCTGGGTTTTGAGGTTTGAAATTGGAGTCCTCCCAGGGTCCCTCACTCCCACACGTCGTACACTTGGCCTCAGTATTGCTCTGTGGGCCCTTCACAAAACGAAACAAATTGCTTTGTGACAGACTGTGCGGAGATGAATGAAACCAGGTTGGATTATATCTTACTGCCCCTTGTTTAAAAGAAGCATTTTTGTTGCCTCTGCGTGTGTGGTGGGGCCGAGGCCCCCAGCTTACAGAGAGCCAGCTTTTTCACCCGAATGTCTGTAGGGTGCGTCCTTCATGGACTGCTCTGCAGGTCTGCAAACCTCAAGGACGGCGTAGTGAGCATTCCGTCTCGGCCGCCCGTGGGCTCTGTCCCGTGTGTGCGGCCCTGGGAACGTGTCACACCCGTGTTCTCTTCTCCCTGGCGCTCTGATGGGGCAGCAGATGCCATTGTGTGCCCAGGGTTTCCTCTCCACCCTGGGCCCGGGCAAATGGTCCGGACCCTCGAAGGCACGTGTCCGCAGGCTTATCTGCACAGGCACCTGCCTCATCCCGGTGTCAGCATCCCAGTCCTTTCCCTGTTTCTGCTTGTGTTTTTATTACGTTTTAAAATTTAAAAAAAAAAATATATATATATATATTTTATTGATTTTGTACAGAGAGGAAGGGAGAGAGATACAGAGTTAGAAACATCGATGAGAGAGAGTCATCGATCAGCTGCCTCTTGCACACCCCCCTACTGGGGATATGCCCACAACCAAGGTACATGCCCCTGACCGGAATCGAACCCGGGACCCTTCAGTCCCCAAGCCTACGCTCTATCCATTGAGCCAAACCGATTTTGGCATGTTTTAAATTTTTTATTGACTTCAGAGAGAAACTCAATTGTGCCAGTTTTTTTATTATTATTATTAAATTATTATCTGTGTACATATCTTACCATCCCCCCCCCCATACATACCCTCCCCAGTTGTGCCAGTTTTTAAAAATATATATTTTTTTATGGATTTCAGAAAGGGAGGTAGAGAAACATTGATCCGATGCCTCCTGGTTGATTAATGCTCAACCACTGAGCCATGCTGGCCAGCTGCTCCTTGATTGGTTGATTCCTGTGTGAGGCCTGAACAGAGACGGAACCCTCAGCCTTGGTGGAGCGGACGGCACTGAGCGGCTGCCATGCCAGCGCCGTCTGCATCCTTAGAAAGGCATTGCTGGGTTCCGTCCTCATGTGTGAGTCACAGGCCCTGGGGCGTGTTCATCGAAGGACTATGGAGTTCCTGGTCCCAAAGCCTCCCCAACGTTCTGGTGTTTTCTGGGGAAATGTCTGTGTAGGAAGGGTTCTCTGTGATTTTTTTTAATATGTATTTTATTGATTTTTTTACAGAGAGGAAGGGGAGAGAGATAGAGAGCTAGAAACGTCAATGAGAGAAACATCGATCAGCTGCCTCTTGCACATCCCCTAATGGGATGTGCCCGCAACCAAGGTACATGCCCTTGACTGGAATCGAACCCGGTACCCTTCAGTCCACAGACCGACGCTCTACCACTGAGCCAAACCAAACCGGTTTTGGCTCTCTGTGATTCTTTAAAGAAGTTGGTTAGAGCGTCAGAGGCCAAGGCTGCGGGTTTGATCCCAGGCAGGGCACACAGGAGAGTCAGCTGGTGAATGCCTAAGTAACAGCCAGTCAGTGTTTCCCTCCTCTGAACCAATCCATTAAAGCAAAAACAACACACTTTCGAGCCTTGGCTGGTGGGGCCCCGTTGGTTGAGCGTCAGCCGTGCACTAAGCCTCTCCAGTTTGCTTCCTGTCGGGCACGGGCGCATTCTGTGCGCCGTCCCTGTGGGGAGCTCGCAGAGGCAGCCGATCCGTGTTCCTCTGTCAGTCGCATCATGTTTGTTAGTCTCTCCCTTTCCCTTCCTCTCGCTAAAATTAAAAAAAAAAAAAAAAAAAAAGCATTTTAAAACCCAGACGTTTCAGAGGTTAGAGGGCTCCTCCTGCCAACCGTCCCTCAGCACACAGGCGGCCCCAAACCCCAGTCTGATCCAAAACGTCCGTGTGCGGTTTGAGGTCCTTTTGAAGCAAAACCGGGGGAGGGGTTGCCCCCTCCCACAGCAGAGCCGCCCACCCTCTGGTCCCTCCCCCTGAGGCCCCTCCCTCGACCCCTCCCCCCCCAGGACTACATTGCGGTGAAGGAGAAGTACGCCAAGTACCTGCCGCACAGCGCCGGGCGCTACGCCGCCAAGCGCTTCCGCAAGGCGCAGTGCCCCATCGTGGAGCGCCTCACCAACTCCATGATGATGCACGGCCGCAACAACGGCAAGAAGCTCATGACGGTGCGCATCGTCAAGCACGCCTTCGAGATCATCCACCTGCTCACGGGCGAGGTAGGCGGGCCTGGGCCTCCCTCACCGGGGCCTCGGGCCACCACAGACCTGCCTCGGGCTCACGCGCCCCCCCCCCCCCCCAGAACCCCCTGCAGGTCCTGGTGAACGCCATCATCAACAGCGGCCCCCGCGAGGACTCCACCCGCATCGGGCGCGCCGGGACCGTGAGGCGCCAGGCCGTGGACGTGTCCCCGCTGCGCCGAGTGAACCAGGTGGGCCTGGGCGGGCGGGCGGGCGGCCCCGGGGCTGGGCGGGCACCGAGGCCGGGCCTCCGATCCTGCCCGGCAGCCTGGCCAGTGGGAAGGGCGCCCGGGCGCATGCTTTACCTGGGGTGTCACTTCCTCCAGGAAGACTTCCTGGATTCCTGCCCCTGCAGCTGGGATTCCTCTCCCAGCTCTGGACCTTTGGGCGGCATTGGGCTGAGGTGCCGTTTGATTCTGGTGTATGGTTTGTCATCGTGTGTGTGTGTGTGTGTGTGTGTGTCCGGAGGATCCGCTGATGACGTTCAGAGAACATGGACGTTAGAGCCCGCTGTCCCCCGAGGAATGTAGCAGCAGCCGAGGATCTATGGCTCCCTCTGTCCTGGTTGTGCCGCCATCCCCAGCCCTATAGCTGCTCCGTTCTGGCCCAGGGGCACATTGTTCATGCAGGTCTCCAGGAATCGGAGGCCTTTAGGGTCTACACTTGCTTTTGTGGCCCCAGTCTGACCCCACACCCGGCAGCACGCCACCGGGGCGGCACTGGTCGCCAGCCTTCCCCGGCCCAGCCTGGGGGAGGGTGTCCCTGCCCGGGCTGAGCCGCCCTGTGCTCCCAGGCCATCTGGCTGCTGTGCACGGGCGCCCGTGAGGCCGCCTTCCGGAACATCAAGACCATCGCCGAGTGCCTGGCCGACGAGCTCATCAACGCGGCCAAGGTGGGTGAGGGCCCCGCGGGGTGGGGAGAGTGGTTTGGGGGGCCCCGCCCCGCCTGGAGCTAACTGACCGTGCCTCCCGCAGGGCTCCTCCAACTCCTACGCCATCAAGAAGAAGGACGAGCTGGAGCGCGTGGCCAAGTCCAACCGCTGATGGGCCGCGGCTCTAATAAACGTCTGCCTCCGGGCGCACCGCCTGCCTGTGTGCTGTCCGTCCCTGGGGTCCCTGTCCGTCCCTGGGGTCTCGGAGCTGGGGTCCCCACGTCCTGAGGAGCTGATCACAGTCTGGGCAGTCTTGGGGCCTGCATTCCCCAGGGAAGGCCTGACTCGAACCCATGGCAGTGGGGTGCGGGTTAGGGTGCGGGCCGGCCGCCCGGAGTGTCCCCGCTGGATGGAAATGGGGTGTCCTCACGGAGGCGGCCTGGCCTGGGAGGGCTTAGTGGGTGCTGTGACCACTTCCAGCTTTGTGTTGGTGGGTAGAAGGGGACCGGGTGCAGCCCCCCTCCCACCTGCAGACTCCAGACCCCCCCTTCTGTGGTCGGGCTGCAGCCCAGCCAGGCAACTGCAGGGGGCGCTGCCTCCCGCCTCCCCTGCGCCCATGCCTCTCTGGGTGGGGAGGTCACCTGGAGGTGGGGGCATATCACCTGGGCGTCAGGCTCCACCTGCGCCATCGCCTGCCCGCCGCCCCCAGACATCCGGCCGGTGGGCGTGGCGAGCGGTCCGACGGGTCCGGCTGGACCCCGAGGGCGTGGCTCCGCCTGGGCCCCTCCCACGGGGCGGGGCGCGCGGTGTCCCTCGGCCACTGGGCCGGGGATGGGGCCAGACTGGCCTGGCACCGGAGCAGGCTCGGCAGGTAGGAAGGCGCCTGGGGTCTCCGTGGGGCCCTTTCCCTGTGGTGAGATCCCTGCTCCGTCCCCGGTCCCAGCGCTCCGGGCTGCGGGTCCCGCCCTCCCCTCGCCGGTCAGCCGCCCGGTCCCCTCAGCGCCCATCTCCGGGGGGAGCCCCCCAGGTCCGGCTTCACCTGCGCGGACCCCCGGGTTCCTCCGGCCCCCTGCCCGGCCGCCCTCCCCGCCGCCCCGTCCGGATGCCCTGCCCCAGGCCGCCCTGGCTGCGCCGCGCGCGGGCCGCTCCGGCCTCCGGCCCCGGCTCCCCCGCTGCGCTCTCCGCGCCGCGCTCCCCGGCCCCGGCCTCGACGCCGGGGACGGAGGACGAGGAGGAGGAGGACGGCGACGGCGGCAGCCCGGGCCCCATGCTGCCGCCCGCGTCCCCCGCCGAGTGCCTCATCTGCGTGTCGCCCTTCGACGGCGCCTTCCAGCTGCCCAAGCGCCTGGACTGCGGCCACGTCTTCTGCCTCGAGTGCCTGGCGCGCCTGTCGCTGGCCACGGCGGGCGGCGGCGAGGCGCTGGCCTGCCCGGTGTGCCGCGCGCCCACGCGCCTGGGCCCGCGCGGGGGGCTGCCCGCGCTGCCCACGCCGGCCGGGCTGCTGCCCCGCGGGGCCCCCGCCGCCGCCGCCGCCGCCGCCGCCGCCGCCGTGCGCTTCGACCGGCGCCGCGGGCTCCTGTACCTGCGCCCGCCGCCCGCGCCGCGCAAGGCCCGCGCCGCCGCGCCCCCGCCGCCGCCGCGCCGCCTCGGCCGCCCGCTGTCCCGCCGCCTCACGCTGGACAGCCCCACCTGGGCCTTCAACGCCGCCGTGGCGCTCGCCGCGCTCGTGGCCGCGGGGCTGGTGGTGTCGGGCGTCTACCTCTTCTTCCTCATCCCGCACGCCGTCTCCTCCGCCGCCGCCGCGCGCCCGCAGCTCGTGGCGCTCGCCCCCGCGCCCGGCTTCTCCTGGGCCCCGCCGCCGCCTGAGCCCGGCGCGCCCTGGAGCGCCGCCTGGACGCCGGGGGCCCCCGCCGGCCCGGACCTGGACGCGCCGGACCCTCCCGGGAGCCCCGGGGGCGCGCCGGACCCAACGGGGGACCCCGAGGACACGCTGGACCCAACGCGGGACCCCAAGGACGCGCTGGAGGCGGAGGGCGCGCGGGCCGGGCCCGGGGGCCGCGCGTGGGGCGGAGAGCGCGGCGGCCCCCCCGGCGGGATGCGGGGCCGGTGGCGGGCGTGGGGGGCGCAGTGAACCCGCCTCTGGCAGAGCCGGGCTCGGGGCCCCGGGCACCCCGCGTCCTCCTGGGGCCCAGCCAATCCCTCGCCACCGTCCCGCCCCTCCCTGGAGGCGCCGGCAGGGACCAGGTCTCCAGAGGGGTCACCACATCCCACACCGGACACGGACCACCCCCCTCACCAAGGAAGCAACCCCTGGCCCTGACCCTGACCCCTGCGAGCACCCATCTTTATGAAGACTGTGCTGGGCCCCGGACAGTGTGGGTCAGTGGTTAGAGCCTGCGCCTGCGGACAGCAGGATCCGGCGTTTGACTGGTCACGTGGCTCAGGGCACGCTCCTTGGGTGCAGGCTCCGCTCGGCCTGGCCTGGGCCCTGTGGGGTGCGTGAAGGAGGCAACCAATCCATGTTTCTCTCTCCCTCTCCCTCCCACTCGCTCTACAAAACAACGGGAAGATGTCCTCGGGAGAGGATTAAAATAAAAGACCTGCTGGCAGGCGCTCCTGAGTGAAGTGGGATACCTGGTCCTCATTCCTGTGGGATGCCCTCCCGCTTGCAGGGGGCCTTGTTAGGGGCACCCCAACCCTGGTCCTCACATGGTTCCCTGGAGTGCACCCCCAGACCCACACCCATCCTGAGGAGCATCCGGGCCCCAAGGGCTGAAGGCTCTGGAGGAGGCTGGGGGGTTGGAGGGACAGATCCGCTGCTGGAAACGCCCCTCCTGGCTGCGCATGGCTGACCTGCGCCTGCAGGCTGGGCCAGCGCAGGGAGGGCCAGGGACCTGGGAGACAGATGGGGGACTGAGCCCAGGTTGCAGGCAGAGGGGGCAGGTGGGGTAGCTCAGAAGTTCTCCCGATGCGCCACGGTTGGGAGTTCGAGCCCCAGTCAGGGCACACGCGGGAATCAGCCAGTGGGTGCATCCGGCCGGGTGCTAGGTACCCAGCTGCCAGGCGGGAGGCCTCAGCTTCCCCTGCGGGTCCTGGCCGCTCTGTGTCTGTGATTGATAACAGAGAGAGGGGGAAACTGCAGCAAAGAGAGTCACTCATCCGCTGCCTCCTGCACACCCCCCTCTGGGGAGCGAGCCTGCCACCCGGGCCCGTGCCCTGGACCGGAATCAAACCTGGGACCCCTCTGTCCACAGGCCAACGCCCTATCCACTGAGCCACACCAGCCAGGGCTCTTTATATATATTATTGATCCCCCCATTGGGGATCGAGCCTGCAACCCCGGGCCCGTGCCCTTGACCAGAATCGAACCCAGGGCCCCTCTGTCCACAGGCCAATGCTCTATCCACTGAGCGATACCAGCTAGGGCTCTTTATATTTATTATTGATCCTCTCTCCCCTCCACACACACACACTGGGGATGGAGCCTGCAACCTGGGCCTGTGTCCTGACCGGGCACGGAACCTCCTGGCTCCTAAGTCGGTGCTCAGACACGGAGCCGCGGTGGCGGCCCCTTGCAGTCTGGGCCCTCTGGGCCAGTGCCACCTGATTTTGGGGGTGGGGGGAGTTGTTCATGGACCTTCCTGTCAACGGGAGCCCCCATCACCCCATCTCCATCCATTCCACCCTTGGGGCCAGCTGTGCCTCTTCCTGCCGTCCTGTTGGCTCCCTGTGGACAGTCACCTCCGGGGAGGGCAGCCCCAGGGTTCCCGGCCGCCTCCTCCCAGAAGCCTTCCTGGCTTAGTCACCGCGGAGTGGGCAGGTGGCAGCCTCCCTCTGCAGGAGCTAAACACGAGTCACCTGCCCCACCCCCACCCGGGAGCCCCATCCTGCCTCTCGGAGCCCCATTGGGTGTTGTGCATTGTGGGTGGGCACCCAGCTCTTCCTTTTCTTTTTTTAAACCTATTTTTATTTATTTCAGAGAGGAAGGGAGAGGGAGAGATGAAAGAGAGCCCTGACCAGTGTTGCTCAGTGGATAGAGCATTGGCCTGTGGACTGAAGGGTCCCAAGTTTGATTCCAGGCAAGGGCATGTACCTTAGTTGCAGGCATATCCCAGTGGGGGCGTGCAGGAGGCAGCTGACCCGATGTTTCTCTCTCATCGATGTTTCTAACTCTCTTATCCCTCTTCCTTCCTCTCTGTAAAAAATCAATAAAATATATTTTTTTAAAAAGGCAAAAATGGAAATGAAAGTATCTTCTCGGTAAATGTAAGACATTATTACCAAAATGAGTTTACCATTGTGACAGAAGAGAGGCAGCCTTGGCAGGACCAGGGAGCCGCCCAGGAGTGCCCTGGACACCCGGGCCCACCCCGCTGGACCCGGCAGCTGGCGGGCTCCTGTGGGTGGGAGCAGCAGGGCACCGAGGAGTGTCTCCCGGGACCAGCCCAAGCCCCATACCTGTGAGCCCGTGTCACCCGGGGCCTGCCCCGCAGGGAGGGGCCGGCCAGGCGGGAGCCGCATCCTTCCACCGGCTCTGTTCCCGAGAACCCCGCACGGGCCCTCACGGCTCCGCAGGCGGACGTCCTAGAATCTTAGGGTCCATCCCCCCTGAAGTCCGGGTGTCCACATGGCTCTCTAGGGGCTCCGAGAGCATTCCTGTCCTCGGCTTCCTCTGACTCCGAGGCCGGCCGCAGTGCAGGATCTCTGGATCACTCTCTCCTACCCCCTGCCTTGCCTTGTATCACACACTGTGATAGCCCTGGCCAGTGAGGCTCAGTGGAGAGAACGCCAGCCCACAGACAGAAGGGTCCTGGGTTTGATTCTGGTCAAGGGCATGGACCTTGGTTGCAGGACCCCGGCCCTGGTCAGGGTGTGTGCAGGAGGCAACCATTCCATACATCTCTCCATCTCCCTCTCTCTCTCTCTCTCTCTCTCTCTCTCTCTCTCATACACACACATCAATATTTCTCTCTGCCTCTCCATTTTCCTCTCACTCTAAAAATCAATGGAACAAGATCCTCACATGGGGATTAACAGAAAAATAAAAAGATTGTGACCAAGTGAGCCCTTCCCGATGAGCCAGGATAATCTCCCCGGCTCAATGTCCTTCACTTAATCACACCGACAGGCCCCTCTCGCCATGCAAGGCAGCAGATCCCTGGAATTAGGACCCGAACATCTGTGGGGCCATTACCCAGTTTATACAGCTCCCTCTTCCTCCCTTCCCTCCGCACCCCAGGCAGGGGCGTGAGGGGCGGGGGACAGACCTGCCGGGGGACCAGGAGGGGACCGTTGACAGGCGGCTCACAGATGATGGTGCTGTCTGCCCGGGTGTGTCCCAGGAAGGCTGCCTGGAGGAAGACATTCAGGGAGATGACGGTGGCACTGAGTCTGGGCCACTGGGCCATGAGGTGGTGGCTGAGGGTCAGGGCAGGGCTGGCCCCTCCCTCCCTCTGCTACCGGCTTCCCCACCCTCCCAGCCAGGAGCCCGAGGCCTCAGTCTCTCCTCCTGTAAAACGGGGCTGAGGACAGAGCCGGGCACTGTGGGCACCAGTGTGCTGATTGCTACCTCGACACCCGCCCACGCACCGACCAGGAAACAGGAGCTGCTGACACCAACCTGGGGCAGGATCAAGGGGCCTCCCGGCCCGATGCCTGCCTGACAGCCTCTGTGGCCGCCTGGGGCTGTGCCCACCCAGCCTCCCTGTGCCTGCCCCCTCCCGCCTCCCCGGCCCTCTGAACCTTGCTTCTCTCTCTCTATAAAATGGCCGCAGTAAATACTCGCAAGGGGAACTTTTTTCTTAGGCTTTATTTTAACACAAAACAAATAGGAAAAACACATCCAAGTGGAAGTGAGAGAGTTCACTGGACCTTTTAAAAGAGAAAGCTGCACTCAGGGTCAGTTCAAACCAGAACCACGGAGAGATGCGCTGTTGGTGGTGACAGAGTCACAGCAGCGCTGCCTGCGGAGTCTCTGGGCCCACGGGCTGCGCGGCAGAGTGAAGCAATGCAGGCAGGACGGCGGCCAGAGTCCCACGGCTACTGTTCCATGTGGAGAATTAAAGGAAGCAGCAGGCCGGTCATCTCACAAGGAACTTTTTTTTGTTGAAGAAAACTTGCAAACGTTGAAAATAAGTGTGAGGCTGTCACTAAAGTCACACAGGGAGGTCGGTGGGGAAACATCTGTGCCCTCGGACCGGGTTTCCCAGATGGCCGCAGGAACACCTGCCGTGTGCGCGCTCACAGCAGCAGGAGAGCCGGCCGTGTGCGCGCCCACAGGAGGGAGAGGCACTCAGTAGAGGCTCGTCTTCTTCATGATGCGCAGGAACTCCTGCTCGTTCACCTCGCCGTCCCCATCGCGATCGGCCTCGTCGATCATCTCCTGCAGCTCCTCGTCCGTCAGGTTCTCGCCCAGCTCCTTGGCCACGCGCTTGAGGTTGCTGAAGGAGATGGTGCCGGTCTCATCGTCGTCGAACAGCTTGAAGGCCTTCAGGATCTCCTCCTTGGTGTCCTTCTCGCACATCTTCTGCGTCATCACGGTCAGGAAGTCGTTGAAGTTCATCTTCCCCGTGCCCTCCTTGTCGATGTCGCCGATCATCTTCTTGATCTCCTCCTTCTTGGGCTCGAAGCCCAGCGCCCGCATGGCCACCTTCAGCTCCTTGACGTCGATGGTGCCGGTGGCGTCCGTGTCGAAGAGGTCGAAGGCCTGCCGGATCTCCTGGATCTGCTCCTTGGTCAGCTCCGGCTTGGGGCTCGCCCTTTTGCGCTGGGAGGACGATGCCATGTCTGCCTTCTTCACGCCCTGGAGGCTCAGGCCCAGCGAGGAGGCTGGCGTCTCTTCAGACCCTGGGAGGAAGACAGGGAGGGAGGGTGTGCTGAGGCAGAGAACCCCGCGGGGAAGACTGGGGGCGGCCTAGACCTGGGAGGGCTCAGCCCCTTGGAGGCAGGGGGCTCTGTGACCCACAGGTACTTGCTGGCACCGGCTGCGTGCCCAGGGTGCACGGGGATAGGGGGGCTCCCAGACCCCAGGAGGGAACCTCCGGAGGCGGGTGATGCCAGAGGGCTCAGCAGAGGCCATCCTCTTGGCCACGTGGCCGCCTCTCCTGGGACCCCCCCCCTCCCAGCTCAGCACACCGGGGTCCTGGGTCCTCCCCCAGCTCCCCCTTCCCCTTTCTCCTCCGAGGGAGTGGCAGTGTCCAGGTTGACAGATGGGGAAACTGAGGCTGGCAGGCTGGCCAGGCCTGGGACTGGAGAGTATCCTACAAAAGCGCCTCCTCTCGCCTGCCCTGGCCAGGGCCGGGAACGCCGTTTCTGAGAACATCTTCTCCATACGCCAAGGTTGTGGGTTCGATCCCTGGTCAGGGCACAGAAAAGACTCAACCGCCCTAGCTGGTATGGCTCAGTGAGTAGAGCTTTGGCTGGTGGACTGAAGGGTCCCAGGTTTCATTCCGGTCAAGGGCACATGCCTGGGTTGCCAGCTCAATCCCCAGCAGGGGGCGTGCTGGAGGCAGCCGATCCATGATTCTCTCTCATTGTGGATTTTTCCATCTTTCTTTCCCTCTCCCTTCCTCTCTGAAATCAAGAAATATTTTTTTTTTAAAAAAAGACTAAACCAATGGGATAAATCAAACAAAGGACTTATATGCATGCCTATAAGCCTAATCAATGACACAGACAACAGGGGGGTAAGGGCATGTATGGGGGTAGTTTTGAGGAGTAATTAAGGAATAAAAACACATATATAACACCTTAATCAATGAAGAAATTTAGAAAAAACCTCAACCAATGAAAGCAAATAAAGATGGACAAATCCGTGTGTGTGTGCCTCTAACAACCTATAAATAAAAAAATTAAGACCAGCTGCAGTAGCTCAGTGGTTGAACTTTGACCTATTAACCGGGAGGTCACGGTTGGATTCCGGTCGGGGCACAAGATCCCCGGTTGGGGGCAGCAGATCCGTGATTCTCCCTCATCACTGATGTCGCTCTCTCTCCCCCTCTCCCTTCCTCTCTGAAATCGATACACATATATTTTTAAAAGCTATAAAAACAAGCCCACGTCCCCTCAACTCAACGCCCGGGTCCGACCTGGGCCCGGGATACCCGCTCCCTCCTCCCTCCCGCCCGCTTCAGACCCGCCGCCGCGGTTCTCTCCGCCTCAGCTCCCCCTCCTCGCCCGCCCCCTGCGACCGGCTAGGCCTCGGCGTACAGGTGGCGGTGGGGCCGCCCCGCTCCCGCGTCCCGCGTCCCGGGCGCCGTCAGCCGCGCAGCAACCTGCTCCTCCGCCCCGAGTGGCTCCGGGGAACCGCCGAGCCTCGAGCGCCGCTTGCCCGGAAACGCTCCTTTCCCGGGCCGTTGTCCGTTGCAACGTTTGGGACGCGCCGCGAGGCACGATGGGAAATGGAGTTGCGGGGTGTGTGTCCAGCGGAAGCAGGGAGCGCGCTCCCCCTGTCGCCGTGGCAACCAGCAAGCGGAGCCGCGTGGGGCCCTGGGAAATGTAGTGCGAGCGTGAGGCGTCCGCGGCTCGGATGGGGCGGGACTTCCGGCATTGCCCGGCGGCGCTCAGTGGGCTCCCGGGGGCGGGTCCGTGCGGGCTCCCGGCGACCTCCCTCCAGAGCCGGGTCCCCGCCCTCGGCACCGCGCGCCCCGCGGATGCCGAGCTTCGCAGGTGCCGCGGCGGCCGGAGGCCGCTGCGCCCGCAGGTTCCGATGGCGGAGAAGGCGCAGGTGAGTGGAAGGGGGTCCGGTTCCGAGGAGGCGGGAGGGTGGCTGCCGTCCGCGGGGTCGCCCTGTCCGTGGAGCGAAGGGCGGGAGGCCTGGCGGGGCGCCCCAGACCCGGTCCTGGCGCTGCAGAGAGAAGGGGGGGGGGATCTACGAGGTGACCCCTGGGACCCGGCGGGCGGGGGCCTGGGTGGCAGGAGACGGGTTGCGGCTGGTGCCCCATCGAAGATGGCTATCCTCAAATCTCACAGATTACCAACGGCTATTACAAAAACCTCCTATAGCTTGTGCTACGGAAATCCCGCCCCCTCCTTGGAAACCCCTCCTTGGAAACCCCTCTCAGAGCCTGATTGGCTCCAAGCTCGCCCCCAACAACAACTTCTTTATTTTGAGCCAATCACGGTGACGCTTGGTCGTTGCCTAGGTGAAGGGGAAGCACGCCCTGGCGTCGCAGCTCACCAGACCTTGCTACATAGCCTGAAGCTGCATGCTCTGCGTCCTTACCAGAGCTGGCCAATGAGAAATCAGGAAGGGGCGTTTCTGGGCATTCTCTGACCAATGATCGTGCAGGGATGGGAGCTAAACGAATAGGCGCAGGCAACTATGGAAATCCCGCCCCCTACTGAACCCTCCGCCTCGGAGCCTGATTGGCTTCAGACTCTCCGCTAACAACTCTTTTATTTTTTTTAGCTAATCACGGCGCAGCTTTGTGGTTTCCTAGGAAGCACGCTCCGGCGTTGCTGCTCATTAGACGAAACTACAAAGCTTGAAAGGCGCTCACTTCGCGTCCATACCAGATCTGGCCAATGAGAGATCAGGAGGGGCGTTTCTGGGCGTTCTCTTGGCCAATGATCATGCAGGGAATGCGGGCGGGGCTTCCCACGTTGGATTGTTTTTTCAGTGTCTGGGCCTTTGGTTCACACTGGGCTGAGGGCCTTGCCCAGGGAACTCCCCGCGCCCGAAGAGACGGGGGCTGGAACGGCACGTCCATGACCGCAGCGAAGTCCAGGCTCCACCAGCCCGGGTTTCTCGGGGCCCTCGAGGTGGTGTCGGCTTTGCTGAACCCGAGACGGAGGCTCTGGGGTCAGGACCCAGTCGTTGTCCGGCTGGACTCCCAGCCGGTTGGACTCCCAGCCCCCGGGTCCCAAGCGTCCTCCTGAGCCCCAGTCCTCGGCGTTTAGGACAGTCCAGGGGGTAAGATGCGGAGGGTGAACGGGCAGGTGAGACCCACCTGGGAGCATTCGGGAAGTTCCGTCGGTGCCTGTAACCCGACAACCAAGGAGTCGGACTGCCTGTCCCCGGAGCTGCCCATCATTATGGAATGATTGACAGTCTCTTGGCTGAAATATTCTAGTCACCTGCTCTTTTTTTTTAATTTAATATATCTTATTGATTTTTTACAGAAAGGAAGGGATAGAGAGCTAGAAACATCGATAAGAGAGAAACATCGATCAGCTGCCTCCTGCACATTTCCTACTGGGGACGTGCCCGCAATCAAGGTACATGCCCTTGACCGGAATAGAACCTGGAACTCTTTTGAGTCCGAAGGCCAACGCTCCATCCACTGAGCCACACCGGCCAGGGCGGCACCTGCTCTTTACAAGGCGGTGGACGCCCTCTGTGAACCTCCCCCTCACCCACCCCAACTCCACTCACATATGATTCAACCCTGTCTGCTTCATTCCTGTTGAAGGGTTAGATCTGTAATCTGCAATGATTATTCTGTGCCCACTTCCCCCATGCCAGTCATGCCTAATTCCCCAGCAATCCTTGTTGTCCTTCTACCCCATAAAAGCGGCTGCGGTATGGAGGGGCACAGAGCAGATGTTTGTGAATGGCTTGCTGCTCTCCCGAACTGCCTGCAGGAATAAATGCTCCTATTGGTTCCCCCCCTGTGTCTCCTTCATTGGCTGAAGTAATGACTGGCAGTCCGCACCCCCATTGGTTGTCTGGAAACACCTCCACAGCCATACCTGTAGCTCAGAGGTGATGTAAGCAACCTGCCTTCTGTCCTCACACTGCCTGGGCAGGGCAGCTTTCCTCCTTTTTTTCCACTGATTTTCAGAGATCATAGAAGGGAGGGAGAGGGAGAGAGAGAGAGAGAGAAACATGGATGTGTAGGTTAGTGTCCTCCTGTATCTGCCCTAGCTGGAAAGGTGATCTAACCTACAACCTTAGGAGGTGCCCTTGGAATTGTACTCTGGACCTTTTGTTGTGCAGGCTGACACTAACCACTGAGCTTGATTCTCAGTGGGTGCGGGTACAGGAGGCAGTTGATCAGTCCTGGCCAGGGTGGACAGATGAGGATTTGGGGAGGGGGCATTTTGTTTTATTTTACTTTATTTTTAAAAATACATTTTTACTGATTTCAGAGAGGAAGGTAGAGGGAGAGAGCGATAGAAATATCAGTGATGAGAGACAATCATTGATTAGCTGCCTCCTACATGCCCCACAATGAGGATCAAGCCCTCAACCTGGACATGTGCCCTGACTGGGAATGGAACTGTGACCTCCCTGCTCATAGATCGATGCTCAACCATCGAGCCATGCTGGCTGGGCTTATTTTATTTTTAAAATATATTTTTACTGATTTCAGAGAGGAAGGGAGAGGGAGAGAGAAACATCAGTGATGAGAATCATTGATTGGCGCCTCCTGCACGCCACCTTCTGGGGATCGAGCCCACAACCTGGGCTTGTGCCCTGACCGGGGAACCTGGAACGGAACCTTGACCTGGTGTTTCCTAGGTGGACGCTCAACCACTGATGCACACCAGCCAGGCAGAGCTTAGGATCTATTCTCTCTGGCTGTGAATCGCTCGGCCTTGTTTAACTGTCCCAGTTTCCCCATTCCACGGGATTTTCCCGTTTCTTACTAACCTGCCTCTTCTAGAGCCTCCCAGCCAGGATCCCCACCCAGGAGGGAGCCACGGGAAGCAGTCCCCCCTACCCCCCCAGATCCCCGCTCCACTTCCCAGCATACCACGCGGTGACGCTTGGCCGTTGCCACGGATACCGTGAGTGGCAAGCACTTGGAACTACACTTCCCAGAAGGCTCTGCGCGCAAGCCCCTCCCGTATTGGGCCAATGAGCGCGGGCAGGGGATGTACTTCCGGCCTCCGGGGCTGGACTTCCGGCCTCCGAGACTGTCACTGGGCTCCGGGCCGCTGTGCCGCCCCCGGTGTTGGGGGCTGGAGCGCGGCCGGTCGGCCGGTCCCCGGAGGCTCTGGAGGCCGGAGGCGGGGGCGGACGAAGGCGGGGGCGCCGGCCCGCTCCGCGCGCGCCCCGGGCCGCAGCGCCCGGCCACGCCCCCGCCCCCCAGCCTTGGATCCTCCGGTGCAGCGTGGGCAGCCCCCAGGGGCCTCGGGGCGGCGCCCTGCCCACGTGCTCTCCGGCCTCCGAGGCGCCGCAGGGGCGGTGCGTGGCGGCCCGCGCCCCGGACGCCCAGGGAGCCTGAAGCCGGGAGCGGGGGTCCGGGTGGGCCGCCGCCCGCGCCGGTTCCGATGGCCGCGGCGACGCCGGTGAGTAGGGGGACCCCCTCCTCCTCGCCCGGGACACCCCCCCCCCCGCCCCAGCTAGAAGGGTCTTCCCCTCTCCGATGCGCCCCGGACCCGGTTCCAGACCAGAGGCCCGCGCGGGCGGAGTCCCCACCCCTGGCAGCCGAGGAGGAGGGACCGCAGGGACACCCCTGGGGAAAGCTTGGGTGGGAGGCAACCCGGTACTTCCGGCCAGAGCTTCCCAACATGGAGCTCCTGGGGGAGGGAAGACAATGTGTGAGGCCGAGAGTGGGCTATCTCTAGGGTTTTGGACATGTTTTATGTTGGGAATTTTATATGTCTGTACACATGGAGTGGCCAGATGATGATGATCTCTGAACGCATAATAATCGGGCCACTCAGTGTACATCCTATATAATAAAAGGCTAATATGCAAATGGCCCCCTCGACCAGGAAGTTGACCAGCAGGCAGGCCAGCCAACTGCCCATGTCCCCTCCCCCTGGCCAGGTTGGCTGGACCCCACCCATGCACAAATTCATGCACCAGACCTCTAATGTATATTTTCATACTGAGTGGCCAGGTTATTATGCATTCAGAGATCACAATAATCTGGCCACTCAGTGTCTATATATGTATATGTGTATACACACACACACACACACACAAGTACATATATTGATTTCAGAGAGGAAGGGAGAGAGACAAAAACATAAATGATGAGGGAGAATCATGGATCAGCTGCCTCCTGCAGACCCCACACTGGGGAGCCAGCCAGCAACCTGGACTTCAGTTTGAGAGCCGCAGTTTGCCAACCACGGTCCTGGTTTATAGATTAACCCCTGAGCCACGCTGCCTGGGCTGAGTTAGGTGGTTTAACCTATCTCACCATTCCCACGGGGAGGGTAGTTTCGAGGTGGGAGGGGTAGGGGGGACGGTGTGCAGGGGGCAGGCGATGATGCTGTGTGGACCAGACCGAAGAGGGAAAATTGGTTGCATTCCCGACACAGAGGCCCATTATCCGTTCGAGGCAAGTGGGGGTGAAGGGGGTGTCCTGAGGGACAGACGGTCACAGGTTTCTTAGTCTGAGGACCGGAAGAATGGAGCTGCCGGAGACTAAACCCGGAATCTGAAGGGAAACCCGGAATCTGAAGGGAAATGAGACTAAACCCGGAATCTGAAGGGAAATGAGGCTTCAGGGGGCCATGAGCAGGGGATGCCCCACTGCAGAGCAGAGTCCTGGTGTCTGGAGCCCGGCAGGGCCTGGGAGTCCCAGGGGGAGGGGACTTCACCACCCCCCAGAGCCGGGCAGTCAGTGCTCCAAGGAGAGGAAGAGGGGCCCGCAGGCTCACGGCTCTCAGGAAGTCCGGCCGGTGGCAGCCCAGTGGAAGGACTCGGCCCTGCCACTGTGGCTCAGGGACTGAGCATCAACCTATGACCCAGGAGGTCACGGTTCGATTCCCGTCAGGGCACAGGCCCGGGTTGTGGGCTCCATCCCCAGTGTGGCGTGTACAGGAGGCAGTCGATCAATAATTCTCATCAATGATCTTTCTCTTCCTCTCCGAAATCAATAAAAAAAATTTTAAAAAAGAAGGGATGTGGCTAAGAGGGGAGGAACTGGCTCCTGTTGGCCCAGCCAGGGGCGCCCTTGGGGGCTCTCCTGTGGAGACTGGGGGTAGGGGGGGCGGGATCAGCCAGTCCTTCGGGCCGGGAATTTGAGTGAGGCCATGTGGTGGGACAACTGGAATCCTAGCCTTGCTGATGGCGAGAGCCGTCAGAGCACACCTGGGGAGGCTCAGCTGAAGCAACAGCTGTGGGACGGCCTGGCATTGCCCTGGGGCGGCAGCCAGTGGGAGGCCAGAGGGCCAGTGATTGGGCATCTGAGGCAGACCAGGGGTGTGGAACGTCTGACCCTCGGGCCATACAAGGCCTCTGAAACCATTGGATCTAGCCCCACCAAGGCACGAGGGGTGAGTTAATGAAATGTCTGACCTATACAGCAGGCTGCTTTTTAAGTCGATTATTCCATATGGTCTGCGAAGGACGTTATACACATCCTAATGGCCCTTGGCAGAAAAAAGGTCCCCTGACACACACATACATACACACACACTCACACACACACACACACAAAGAGGCCCACACAGGTGAGGGAGGCTGCAGCTGCAGAGCCGAGGGGGGCGGGGGGGAGTGGGGCCCACACGGGTGAGGGAGCTGCAGAGCCCTGGGTGGGGGTGGAGGGAGTGAATGTGAGGGACCTGGAGGAAGCGGCCATTGGGACAGGGAGTGGGGGTCACGTGGCCATAACGTAGGCCATGGCCCCCCATTGTCTCAGGCGCTGATGGCCTTTGAGGACGTGGCCGTGTACTTCTCCCGGGAGGAGTGGGGGCTCTTGGACGCGGCGCAGCGGGCCCTGTACCGCCAGGTGATGCTGGAGAACTTCGCCCTCGTGGCCTCGCTGGGTAAGGCCCTGGGTCCCCCTAAACCCCCTCTGCAGAAAGCTCATTGTCAGGCTGGTCCATCAGCACGAATCCTCTGACCTCCTGGGGCCTCACCCGCCCCCACCCCAGGCCCAGCATCCCTTCAGGCCGAGGCACCTCAGGGCCTGGGCTCGGTGGGGCTGCAGACACACTTCTCCCCATGGGAGCCCTGCCCCGGACAGCCCTCCTGTAGGTCAGCCTGCTGTCATGAGCTGCCGCCGGCCCCTCACTGGCTCGCCTGCCCCTGCAGGACTGTCTGCCTCCCGCCCTCGGATGGTCCTGCAGCTGGAGCGCGGGGAGGAGCCCTGGGTGCTCGGTGGGCTGGATGTGGCCCTGGCCAGGGACGCCCAGAGGCGGCCCAGCCCTGGTGAGTGGGGCTTCCGGGGGGCGGGGGGGTCCCTCTTTCCCACACTCTGCTGCCTCCCACCTGCCTCCCTCCTGTTCTCCTTCCACCCTGAGCTGCTCCTGCAGCCTCCAGCACCTGGGCTGTGGTGAGACCTCAGGATCCCAGCTCAGCCAGCGTGCTGGCCTCACACCTTCCTGTCTCACCTCGGGCCTCCTCCTCCTCAAACCCTCCTGTCTCACCTCGCCACCTCCTCTGTGTTCCATTCACTCACGTCCATTCACGCGGCCATGGCTTCCTGAGCATTTGCAGTGACCAGCTGGTTCCCTGGGCACCAGGGACTCAGCTTTGGCCGGGCCGCAGGCTGCCAGGGGGAGGGGCCAGGCCGGCTGGGGAGGCCCTAGGCCGGGAGCTGCAGATGGGAAGGCTGTGTCCTCCTCTGCAGTTTCTGCACTCAGACCTGGGGCCCCCTTGCCCACCCACCCAGGCCCCCTCCCTTCCTGGACAGGGTGACCCAGGCACCCGCTGTTTCCGGTCCTGCAGGTTCCCAGCGTCCCACGGAGGACAGAGCTGTTTCTGGGGAAGCAGCGTGGACCTTCTGGGAGAGGCCCCCCCTGACACCCACCGGGGTCCCCCGCACCCCTGCTGTCTCTGAGCGCGGAGAACTGGAGGGGCGTCGGGGGAAGAGGAAACCTTCGGGTGTCTCCGTGATCTACTGGGAAAGCCTCTTGCTGGGCCCAGGCAGTGGGGAGGCTGGCGTGAGCCTGCGGCTGACCCCTCAGCTGCGGGCGCCCTCGGACAGCGCACCCACAGGGGACCTCGCCGGGCCAGGCACGCAGCCGCAACCACCGGGGCGGGGGCATCCCGGGAGGACCTTCCAGGGCGTCCCAGGACTCCTCGAAACCGGTCCCCCTGCGGCGGGGGAGCTGGGTCCGGGGGCCGCGTGGGACGAGCCCCAGAAGCACCTGACCGGCCGGGAGCCCCCGCCCTGGGCGGAGCTGGGCCCTGGCCCCGGCCTTCCGCCCGCGGAGAAGACGTTCGAGTGCCGGGCCTGCAGCAAGGTCTTCGTCAAGAGCTCGGACCTGCTCAAGCACCGGCGCACGCACACGGGCGAGCGGCCCTTCGCCTGCGCGCAGTGCGGCCGCGCCTTCAGCCAGACCTCGCACCTGACGCAGCACCAGCGCATCCACAGCGGCGAGACGCCCTACGCCTGCGCCGCCTGCGGCCAGGCCTTCCGCCACAGCTCCTCGCTGGTGCGGCACCAGCGCATCCACACGGCCGAGAAGGCCTTCCGCTGCGGCGAGTGCGGCAAGGCCTTCAGCCACGGCTCCAACCTCAGCCAGCACCGCAAGATCCACGCGGGCGGCCGGCCCTACGCCTGCGCGCGCTGCGGCCGCCGCTTCTGCCGCAACGCGCACCTGGCGCAGCACGAGCGCACGCACACGGGCGAGAAGCCGTTCGCCTGCGCGCTGTGCGGCGCCGCCTTCAGCCAGGGCTCCTCGCTCTTCAAGCACCAGCGCGTGCACACGGGCGAGCGGCCCTTCGCGTGCGCGCAGTGCGGCCGCGCCTTCAGCCACAGCTCCAACCTCACGCAGCACCAGCTGCTGCACACTGGCGAGCGGCCCTTCCGCTGCGCCGACTGCGGCAAGGCCTTCGCCAAGGGCGCCGTGCTGCTCAGCCACCGGCGCATCCACACGGGCGAGAAGCCCTTCGCCTGCGCGCAGTGCGGCCGCGCCTTCCGCGAGCGCCCGGCCCTGTTCCACCACCAGCGCATCCACACCGGGGAGCGGCCGCCGGCGCGGAGGAGGCGCGGGGCCCCGCCCGCCGCGGGGCCCGCGTCCGCGCAGGCGGAGGCCTGAGGTCCAGCCCCGCCCTCCGGCGGCCAGCGGGCTGGTCCCTCGGGAGAGGCCTGTGCGCGCACCGGGGTTCCATCCCCCGCGGTGACTGACGCCTCCCCCATTCCCGTGGACCCCGCTGCGGAAAGGTCAGGGATGGACAGGACCAGGAGGCGGGTCCTTGGGTGGGGCCGGGGCGTGGCAGTCAGAACCAGGGCCCAGCGAGGTGGTGGTGCCCTGGTCACGTGTTGTGCCTGGACACCCTCCCCCCCCAGGGGAGGCGGCCCAGATGAATCTGTGATGTCGCATCCCGCTGGCTGGTCCCTGATCCTCGGATAGTCCCTGGTATCTGTGCATCCGCGGCTTCCTGGGGTGGTGTGGTGGACCAGGGGGCATGTGGGGCTGCGCAGGAAAGGAGGAAAAGCCGAATTCTGGCTACAAAAGGACAATTTGCAGGCGAACATGCCAGCGCCCGCCCCTGTTCTGACTGCTGCCAAGTCCTCCTAGCAGCCCTAGGTGGGGTCATGTTTGTGTCACTGTGGGTGGCAGATGGCTTTGGTGTCTTGGATGTGATGGGACAGGAGCACCCACGCGGTCACCTGTGGTCCCTGCCTCAACTCCTACAGTAAAGCTGCTGAGGCAGCTCTCACCCGTCTACCTTGCTCCCCCCCCTCCCTCCAGCTGCCCCGGTGTCCCGCCCCTCATGGACCACAGACCAAGTTCCACCTGTGGCTTCTCACAGAGAACCAGGTGGAACCAGGGCCCTGCAGCTCCGTGGGGACCGCACACCCGGGCGCAGGTCTGCAGGCTGTCACCACCCACGTGGTCTGTCAGGAGCCTCTGGAGGGGGAGGCTGAATTTATGCAAGAACTTACTGTCTGTGTCTGATCCGAGTATAATGGCTCCCCTTTTCCCTCAGTAAAAGGACAATGAACTTTCCTGGTTGTGAGACTGAAGGTCGACATGGGCCTGGTGTCTGGGCCTCACCCCGCCTGCCTGCCTCAGTGTCCCCACCACGTGGGGGTGTCACACCGAGGGGGACCTCAGGAAGGCACCACACATGGGCAGGGACCCTGCCACACGCGCAGCCCCGTCCTGTCTCTTCCTGTCAGGGCGGTGGGGGCATAAAGGCTCCCGGAATCTTGACTTGGGTAACGGGACAGGCCAGCGCTGAGGCCGCATGTGAGTCTGCAGCAGGGCAGACGGGAGGGGGGAGGAGCAGGGCCGGGGAGCCATCACTGTCTCCCTCCGACCTCCACCTCCTGTGGGTCAGCCACATGCAGGGAGCTGGCCAGGCTTCCATCTGCTCTCAGCCAGCCACTAGAGCCTGGAACAGGGAGGAGGTGTGTGGGCTGTCTGGATGCCGGACCTGGCTCAGCTGTGCACAGCTCACACCCCCTCTCTGTGCTGTAGTTTCCTCGGGTCATGGGGTGCCCCCCTGCCACGCTAGGTTTAAGACAAAGCTTAATGCCCATAGCAAGGGCAATTCTGCACCTAAGTGGGAACGGTGAGAGTCGTTTTGGGGAAATGCCCACTCCCTGAGGAAAGATCTAAGGCCCCAAAAAACAGCGCCCTCTAATGATGCTGCTGGGAAGAGCTGACAGGCCCAGCCACGCGCACACACAGAGAGCCCACCCCCACCCCGACCCCGGTCCGTGATGCAGCCACAGCCCTTTATCTCCAGCTGGCGGCCCGGGTTCCTCAGCATCAGAAGGAACTGGACAGACAGGGAGATGCGTTTTAGGGTGGAACAGGTCGTGTTTCGGCCACTAGATGGAAGCACACCTGGCCTCACCCCGGTCAGATCTTAAAAACGATGGCATTGCCTACCGAGATAAACTGAAAACAAAGGTCAGCTGACTGGCTCTGGACCCCAAAGTAAGAAAGAGGTCGAGCAGGTCCCATAAGCCTGGACAAAAGCCCCCTCCTTCACCGTGCAGTACAGGCCTGCTGTCGGAAGATGTCCGGCTCCGTATGCGAATCACGGGGCCCTTTCCTTCTCGGTAAACGGGTGCCCACCGGGGCAGGGCGCCCAGCGGAGGTCGAGTGAGGGACCGGCACCCTCCTCGCTGGAGAAAGCCCACAGGTCACCAGGGCCGTCCTGGCCGGACCCCGCTTCCTTGTGGGACCACCCGGAGCCCATTCTCTGCCGAACGGTCCACGACCCGGGCCTCCGTGCCGGGCGGGATGACGCTCCCGCTGTTGCCTTAGAAACTGCTGCGGGCACGCGAGCGCTGGAACGTCGTTACCAAGGCGATCACTCGGCGTCCAGAAACAAGCCTCTAACAGCGCGCTGGGGGTGGGGTCTGCGCAGAGGGCCAGCTCTGATTGGCCAAAAGGGCAGATCTCTCACCTCGCTTACCAATAGGACCCCGATCCGTTTTGCACATGCGCGGGGTTTTAACGGCCCATCCTAGCAGTTGGTGAGTCCTAAGACCCGGATGCAAAAAGGACGGCCGCCAGCGAGGAAAGGGAGTTCGCAAAATGAGCTTCTCTGCAGATTCCTCTCTCCGAGGACAAAAGCACTTCTCAGGCGTGAGAGGCCTCTGACCATGAGCCTCCGCGCCGGTCCTCGCTTACTGAGGCTCATGGGAAGCGTAGTCTGTGGGAGGGGCGGTGCCTTCGGAGCAGGGCCCTGATTGGCCGCAGCGACGTCACCAGGGCAACGAACGGAGGGGCGTGGCGTCGCGGTGCGGTTGACCGGAAGCGGCCTCCGGCGCCGGCGCGGTGGCTGAGGAGAGCGCGGTCGGGCTGGGCTGGCCGCCGTTTCTCCACCTCCCGGGACCCAGCCCCTCCTCCCTGCGCGCCCCCTGCCGAGCCGCTCCTTCCCGGGGCTTCGTGCCGCCTCCTCCGGGAAGGCCTCCTCCCTCCTCCCACTTTGGGGAGACGAACACCGAGGCTGGTCTCCCGGGTCGGACAGCCCCCAGGTGGCCGGCTCACGACTCCGCGCGGCTCGGGGTTCCGGCCACCTGCTCGGTCCGGCCTGGGCGCGCCCTCCGCAGCGCGCTGAGGTCGGCGAGCACCGAGCCCCCCACGTCCAGCCTCGACCCTGGGCGCAGCCGCGGGCCCCTCGGTCGCCAGCCCCTCGGGGCGCCCACTGCAGCCCCCGTGTCCCGCCCTCACCCCCCGCCCCGCCCCGCCCCGCTCCGCTCCTCGGGCTCCGCAGCTTGACCTGGGATCCGACCTCTCCTCCGCGCCTTGTGCCCTCGAGGGGCTCCCTGACCCCACCTTCCCTGCACGTCCCCCTCGGTGGCTCCAAGGCTCCCGACACCACCATGTCGTCCTCCCTGGGCCCCCCGCGCCTGCCCCCCGGAAGCCCCGCCGCCGCCCCGGAGGACCCCGAGGCGGCGCGCCTGCGCTTCCGGGGGTTCCGCTTTGAAGAGGCGGCGGGTCCCCCCGAGGCCCTGGCCCGGCTCCGCGAGCTGTGCCGCCGGTGGCTGCGGCCCGAGGCGCACTCCAAGGAGCAGATGCTGGAGCTGCTGGTGCTGGAGCAGTTCCTGGGCGCGCTGCCCCCCGAGATCCAGGCCTGGGTGCAGGGCCAGAGGCCAGGCAGCCCCGAGGAGGCCGCCGCGCTGGTGGAGAGCCTGCGGCAGGACCCCGGGCAGCTGCTGGACTGGGTGAGTGTGGCCGTGGCTTCGTGGGGGGACAGCGGGGACTAGAGGGACCCCCGTGACTGCCGCTCCCCCTCAGATCGCAGCCCGCGTCCTGAAGCCAGCGGTGCTCCCGGCGGCGCAGGAGGCAGAGGACTCACCGGAGAGAGTCCCGCCCGTCGGGGCAGCCGCGGGGGAGCGGCCGGAGGACGCCCCGGTGCAGACGGAGGGGTCTGCCCGGCTCAGCTGCAGCGTGAAGGAGGAGCCCGATGCTGACGGGCCGGAGACCGGTGAGAGGGGGCCCGTGGCCGGAGTGCGGACACCCAGGCTGGAGGGGGACTCCGGGGGCCGCAGAGTTGGGCCCGGGAGAGCCGGGAGGGCGCCTGTGTGCCTGGTACCTGCTGGCACCAGCTCAGGGGCAGCCCTGACCCCCTGCCTCAACTCCCAGCATCCGCCAGTCCCCCCAATCCAGTCCAGACCCAGGAGGGGCCAGTGGGAACCGGGGAACCGGACTCTGCCTCCTTCCACGCCCCCGGGATGCAGGTGAGCACCCCACGTTTTCCAGGGACCGGGGGGTTAGGAGGGCGTGGGGGGGGGGACATCGCCCCGCCCTTGCCACTCCCTCCCCACCTGCATCACTGCTCCCCGCTGTGCGGCTGCCCCTCTGTCTGGCCGTCCACACGGGGTTGCCCTGGCCCCGCACAGCTGTCCCCAGGAGGGCCTCCCGGAGAGGCGTCTGGAGCCTCGGAGTCCCTGGTCTGCTGGGGACACACTGCCCCCCGCCCCCAGCCCAGGGTCCTGAGCTCAGTCCGCTGGCCAGACGTGGGGTGGGCCGCCCCCTTCCTGCCGGCCGCCCCGGCCCTCACACCCCGTCTCCGAGTCCTCTGAGGCTGGGGTCGCCTCGGCAGGAGGAGTGGGGGCTGCTGGACCCGTCGCAGAAGGAGCTGTACTGGGATGCGCTGCTGGAGAAGTACGGCTCCGAGATCTCCCAGGGTGAGGACCGCACCCCCACCCCGCCCGCTGCCTGCACCCTGTCCCCTGCCCCCCCAACCCTCCGCTGCCTGCACCCTGCCCCCCTGCATCTCCATTCCCCGCTGCCTGCACCCTGCCTCCCTGCACCCCCCAGCTGCCTGCACCCTGTCCCTGCGCGCCCCCCCACCCCTTGCTGCCTGCAACCTGCGCCCCGCCTTCTCCCTCCCGAGGGGCGCCCAGACCCCACCCTGTCCCTCGGGCGCCTGACCCGCCCTGTCCCCACCAGGGTTGCCGCCGCCCTTCCCGGACGAGCGGGCGAAGCTGGAGCCGGAGCCGGGGTCGCCGAGCGCGGGCGCCGAGGGCGCGGGTGAGTGCAGCCCCCACCGCGGTGCGGCTCCGGTCCCGGTGGGTGGCGCCCGCGCCGGGGGCCGCGGGGAGGGGAACTGACGTCCGGGCGCCCGTCCCTCCCTCCCCAGGAGCCGAGCGCCGGGGCCCGCGCTTCACCTGCGCGCAGTGCGGCCGCGGATTCGGCTGGAAGTCCGTGTTCGCCATCCACCACCGCGCGCACCGGGCCGCGCCGGCCGCCCCTGCGCCGCCGCCGGGGCCCCGGGAGCCGGCCGCCCCCGCCCCCGCCCGCCCCGCGCCCCCCGCCCGCGGCTACACGTGCGCCGAGTGCGGCCGCGGCTTCAGCTGGAAGTCGCAGCTGGTGATCCACCGCCAGGGCCACGGCCCCCGCCCGCGCCACGTGTGCGGGGACTGCGGCCGCGGCTTCGACTGGAAGTCCCAGCTGGTGATGCACCGCCGCGGCCACCGCCCGCGGGACCCGTGAGCCGGGGCCTCAGCCCGGACACAGCGGCCGCCGGAGGACGGGGCAGGGAGGGCGCTGGGGCGGGAGCGGCCGCGTTCACCGGACGGTCCCCCGGAAGCCGCCCTCCCCTCCCGGCGGGGCGCCCAGGGCCTCTGGGACCCGGGGGCCGTGAGATGCTCAGCAACCACCTCCCCAACCACCTCCCTGTCCGCACCGCGGGGCGGGGGGTCCTGGAACTTGTAGGACCGGGACGCCGGGAGGGCAGGGCCGCTTGTGGTGGGCACGGGGAGGGCCCCCTCATGCTCCCCGCGGCTGTGGGTCTCCCATCAACTCCCTTTCCGAGTCGGGAGGTTTATGGAGCGGCCCTGGCCCCTGGCCCCTGGCCCCTGGTCCTGTGATCGATCAGCTCCTTCTCCCGCCTGGCCGCGGGGAGTCCGGGCTCCCAGTCCCGCCTTCCTGCTGCCCGGCACCTCCCCCTTGTTCCTAGGCTCCTGAGCCCCAGCTTGAGCGGACACTGAGGGGACTGACTTTTTAAAACTGACCTTAGAGAAGGGAAGGAAAAGGGAACAGCAAGTGGCTGTCCACTCCTGTGTGCATCCGCTGGCCGTTCCTCTGTGCCCGGCCGGGGGTCAGGGACACACTCCAGCCTCCTGAGCTATGGGTCAGAGCTATGGGACTTTTTTTCTGTGACAAGCTTATTTATTTGTTGTTTATCTCATGTTATAGAACATATTCGACCTTGTTGTTTAAGCTTTACTTTGAAAATAAGGGGCATTTTGGGGGGGGGGGGGCAGTTTCCAGGAAACCGGTGCACTCGACAGGAGGTGGGGTGGCTTGGGCCGGGCAGGACCCGGCTGCGGCCTGGAGCTGGGGGTGGGAGGGTGCCTCCGCCACCCCGTGTCTGAGGACCTTCTGACCTGGCACTCGCCCTGGGGCCGAGCAAGGTCCGGCTGGAGATGGAGTGGTTACAGGCGAGCTCCGCAGGGGACGGTGGGTCCCCGTGTCCCTGGTGGATCCAACGCCCCTCATGGACCTCAGAGGATCCCCGTGGCCCTGGCACCTGGTGGCCCCCTTGCTCCTGGTGGATTCTGACAGCAGTTCCGATGCCCATCCCAGGAGCGTGGGCATCCGCGGGCCTCTGCCTACAACTCCCACAATTCTCCGGGCTGTGAAGGCGCTCCAGTACGTCACAGAGGCCTCGACGTTCTTTGGCTTCTGCCTACAGTTCCCACAATACCCCGGGGGACGCGTTCAGCCTTCGGAGGCCTCTGTGCTCGGGGGCTCCTTTCTCGGGGCTCCTTTCTCGTTGCCTCTGGCCTGCAGTCCCCACTGCGAACCGGAGGGCACTTCCGGCTCCAGACACTGCAGCCTCCAGCTTCAGAGGCCTCTGCGCCCCCCATCTCCCAGCACTCGCCGCAGGGCTTCTGCAAGTGCGCTCCCCCAATTACTTCCTGCTTAACCTTCCCGCCCCAGTCGGGCCTGCACGCCCTCAGAGGCCTCCCCGCATCCTGCAGGGCACACCGCGGCCGCTCTCCTCTCCACTGTGCAGAGGCTAAGGCTGCTGGTCCCTCCCACGCCCCTGCCCTTCCCCAGGCAGGGCCGCTACTGCAGGCGAGCAGAGGTCCTAGGTTGGAGGCAACGGGAACCCTGAAGTGTGCTTCCTTCAAAAAAAATTTTAATTGATTTCACGGAGGGAGAGATAGAAACATCCGTAATGAGAATCATTGATCCACTGCCTCCTCCACAACCCCCACCACACGGGGTGGAGCCCACAACCTAGGCCTGTGCCCTGACGGGGAGTCAACTGTGACCTGGTTCATAGGTCAACACTCAACCCCTGGGCCACGCTGACCCGGACTGGAGTATGCCTTTTGGAGAGCGCTAAGCCCTGAACTGGTGGCTCATTCCTCCATCCACGCGAGCATTTGTGTACATTCAAGTTTGTTCTCTGTTTCTGGGTCCAGGATAGGCCTGCTCTGTGAAGCTGGGGTACGGCCAGTCTGGGATCCACGAGGCTCCTGTGCAGGTCCGGGCAGGAGGGGGTGACACTGTACATTCGAATGATGGTGTTTAAAAGAAAAGCATCCCCCCTCCCCTAGAAAAAAGAGAGAGAAGGCCCCAGCAGGTGTGGCTCAGTTGGTTGTCTTCCCATGCACCTGAAGGTGGCTGGTTGGATTCAGACACACACCTAGTTCGGTGCAGGTCGTGGTGCAAGCTGGAGGCAACCGATTAACATTTCTCTTTTTCTCTCTCTCTGAAACCAATAAAAACATTAAAAATAGAGCTTCCAAAGGGAGAGGAAGCTAGCGTTTATTTGAAAATTAGGGGGGCAGGGGATAATTATTCCTGAAGTACTGATTCAGGCATATGCTCAAATAGTGTTCTGATCGGGAGATAAAGGCAAGGGATATTGATGAGAAAGGAAAGGGGCCCCATGACATCCACAGAAGGAAGGAAAGCAATGTCATTGTTCTCCATTTTCCAGCTCTGTAGTCATCTGTCCACTAGTCATCACTGCTTTCATGTTATTCCTGCAAACTGTTCTTCCGGACTCAAGGTGACTAGGCCCCATGTTACCATCCAAAAGGCGTGAAAATTAAGGCATGGGAGGTGGTGCTCTGGCACAGCAGCTCCAGCTGTTGCCATGATGTATTTTTTGACAGCGGTCGGCCCTGCTCGCCGGCCAGCTGTTCAGAGTTTCCAGGTGCCCTCACACACAGCCTGGAACGTGTCCTGCGTCAGCGGCCGGAAGGTCTGGGCCTGGCTGTCCAGCACGAACAGCGGGTCCGCAATGACTCCCACGTCAAAGCCCTCGCGCACCAGCCGGGACTTCACCAGCTTGAAGGTGTTGGTGATCTCCAGCGTCTCCTGCAGGGGCAGGACTGTAACTCCAACCGCGACTCCCACGGCCGCGACCTCCCACCCCAACCACTGCCCCCCCCCTCCCCAGCTCACCTGCACGCGGATGAAATGGGGGACCGCGTAGGCCGGGAGCCACGTGCGGACATGCTGGTACAGCTTCTGCCCGTCGAAGGCCCGGCCGGGGGCCAGCTGCACGGCGGCCATGCCCACCTTGCCCTCACACCCTGGAGGCACACCAGCCAGTCACGCTGAGCTCCCCCGCCGCTAACGGGGGTGGAGGGGTGGGGGTGTGGTACACCGCCCCCCACAAAGCTGCTGTTGGTTTGAAATGAGGGGAGCCCGCCGCACCTGGCACGGACACGCCGTAGACGTTCACCTGCTGCAGGAAGTCCACGAGTGACAACACGCCCTCCACCTCCCGCGTGGACACGTTCTCACCCTTCCACCTGCGGGTGAGAGCAGGTGCTTGAGATCACGAGCCCGGTAACGAGGAGGCCCCGCCCCTTGCCCACCAAGCCCTGCCCCCTGGGACCCGAAAGCCCCGCCTCTTTACTCGGCCTCCCAGTAGGATCTGAAAGTCCCGGTGGCCCCCCCCCAAGCTCCGCCTCCCTCTAGGATCAGAATGACCCGGTGGCCCCGCCCCCGGAACAGAAAGCTCCGCCTCCCTTCAGGACCGCGATGTCCCGGTGGCCCCGCCCCCGGAGCCCCGCCCAGCACCGGTAGGTGTCCCCGAGGCGGTCGTGGAAGTAGAGGAAGCCTTCGAGGTCCATGGACAGCACGTCGCCGGTGTTGTAGTAAATGTCGTCCGGGCGCCGCACCTTCCGCACCAGCTTCCGTTCCGACAGCTCCCGGGGCCCGCGGTAGCCCAGGAAGGGGTTGCGGCGCAGCACCCGGGTCAGCAGCAGCCCGGGCTCCCCTGGGCGGGGGCGGAGGCGGCGTGAGCCTCGGGAGCCTCGCAGGCATCGGAGCCCGCGGCCTCCCGGACCCTCAGAGAGGGGACACCCAGCGATGGAGACGGGGAGACGGGCGGAGAGAGGGTGGCACGGGGAGCCCATTAAAAAGGGGGAAAGGCCGAAACCGGTTTGGCTCAGTGGATAGAGCGTCGGCTTGCGGACTCAAGGGTCCCGGGTTCGATTCCAGTCAAGGGCATGGACCTGGGTTGTGGGCACATCCCCAGTAGGAGGTGTGCAGGAGGCAGCTGTTCGATGTTTCTCTCATCGATGTTTCTGACTTTCTATCACTCTCTGTAAAAAAATCAATAAAATATATTTAAAAATAAAAAGGGGAAAAGGAAAAAAAAAACCTAAAGAAATAAAATTAATAAACAGGAAAAGGATGCCCGGCCGGTGTGGCTCAATGGATGAACTAGGAGGTCAGGGTTCGAGTCACATGGGGGCACGTGCCTGGGTGGTGGGCTCCATCCCCCTTGGCAGGCTTGCATCCATCTCATCATTGATGTTTCTCCCTCCTTCCCTCCTTTCCTCTCTGAAATCAATAAAAATATTTTTAAAAACTGGGGAAAGGATGACAAGAGAGGGTGAAGGATGGAGACCAATGGTGGCCAGGCCCTTGCAAGACCCCAGGAGAGAAGACCCCGAGGAGAAGGTGGGAGCCTGGGAGGACGGGAGGCGGAGAGGACAGGCCCCGAGGGCAGCCGGAGGCACAGGAAGAGAGGCCGAGGCGGTGCCGGTCAGAACCGAGACAGAGGGACCCGGACAGTGGTCGGACGGACGGACGGACGGACGGGGGTCAGGGTCGGTGAGAGCTGCAGGCCCCGCCCCCATGCACCTGGCCCCACCGGCACGCAGCAGCCGGCTCCGTCCCGCACGGGCTCCGCAGCCTCGGGGTCGAACCGGACGAGCTCGAAGGGGGACAGCGCCTGCGGGGGGCGGGGGAGGGAGGAGGTTGGGGTGTCAGAGGCCCGGGGGGCGCCTCCCCTGGGGTCCCCGCAGCCCAGCCTCACCCGGAGGACGCAGCTGGTCTTGCCCACGGCGCCGCGGCGGCACGGGTAGTTGACGAAGCCCGCGTTGCCCTCGGTGGAGCCGTAGACCTCGTAGATGCGGACGGGCCCGAAGCGCCGCTGGAAGGCGTCCCACACGTCCCCGCGGAGCCCGTTCCCCAGGGCCAGGCGGACCGTGTGCGTCCGGTCCTCGGGCCGCTGCAGAGATGCCCCGAGGAGGGTGTTAGTAATAGCAATAAGGATAAATACAATATTGAATAAGTATTGAAGTGTGGATATCTGAAAGTGTGGAATGGAATGTAAACAAACTGATAAGCGCCCTTGTGTGACCTGAATGTAGGAAATAGATAAAGTGGCCTGTGCACCATATGTTAGACGGGATAGCAGGGACCCTGGGACCCGCTGATAAGACACACTGGAGGCACCTCTGAGCACTGAGGAAGCAGGAGGCAGCTGATCGATGATTCTCTCATCGATGTTTCTAGCTCTCTATCTCTCTCCCTTCCTCTCTGTGAAAAATCAATAAAATATATTTTTAAAAATGTATTGTCATTGCCGAAACCGGTTTGACTCAATGGATAGAGCCACGGCTTGGGGACTGAAGGGCCCCGGGTTCAATTCTGGTCAAGGGCATGCGCCTTGGTTGCGGGCATATCCCCAGTAGGGGGTGTGCAAGAGGCAGCTGATCAATGACTCTCATTGATGTTTCTAACTATCTCTCTCCCTTCTTCTCTGTACAAAATCAATAAAATATATTAAAAAGAACAAAAACAAAAACAAGCATTTAAAAAAAATGTATTGTCATTCATTTCAGAGCGGAAAGGGGAGAGAGGGGAGAGAGAGAGAGAGAGAAAGAGAGAGAGAGAGAGAGAGAGAGAGCGCAATGATGAGAGAGAATCATGGATTAGCTGCCTCCTGCAAGTGGGCATGTGTCCTGACTGGGAATCCAACTGTGACCTCCTGGTTCATAGGTCGACGCTCAACAACTGAAAAACGGCACATCCCCAGCTGGGCAACTTTTTTTTTTTTAATTGATTTTTTTACAGAGAGAAAGGGAGAGGGATAGAGAGCTAGAAACATCAATCAGCTGCCTCCTGCACAGCCCCCACTGGGGATGTGCCCGCAACCAATGTACATGCTCTTGACCGAACCCAGGACCTTTCAGTCTGCAGACCAATGCTCTGTCCACTGAGCCAAACCGGTTTCGGCTGCAACTTTTTGTTTGTTTTGTTGGTTAATCCTCACCTGAGGATATTTTTTCACTGCCTTTCAGAGAGAATGGAAGGGAGGGAGGGGGAGAGAGAGAGCGAAGAGAGAGAGAAATATCGATATGAGAGAGATACATTGATTGGTTGCCTCCTTCGCGGCCAGCGATTGAAACTGCAACCCCACGTATGTGTCTTTGAGAATCGAACTTGCAACCCTTCAGTGCTTTGGCCAACGCTCTAACCACAGACCAGCGCAGCCCCGGTGGCGAGCCTGGAGGGAGCCCCGCCTGGCGCCTCACCTGGGGAGCGTTGCAAAGGTACCGCAGCACCTCGCCCACATACTGGATCACGGTCACCCCATGCTGCCGGCAGTCCTCCCAGAAGCAGGACGCGGAGAACTTGGGGGCCAGGACGCAGGTGGCTCCTGGGAGGTGGGAGGGGAAGGGGTTCAGGTCCTGCTTCCACGCCTCCGTGAGAAGCTGCCTCGCCCTGTGGCCCCCGAGGCACAGGGTGGCCCCCCGTTCCTCTCCTGTCCCTGGTCTAGCCAGGCTTCGGCGGGCCTGGGCTTGGGTTCACATCCGGCCTCCAAAATGTGTACGCCAGGGCTCGGGAAGGGCTGTGAGCATCCATTGTTCTTGATTATTGATAATGCTAGAGCCTGTTGCACGAAGATTCATGCAAGAATGGGCCTTCCTTCCCCTGGCTGCCTGCATCGCCTTTCAGCTGCCTTTCTGCCTTTCCATGCTGCTGGGGCATGCAGAACACCTGCTTCCTACCCCACCCCCGCTGCTCTGAGCCTGTAAATGCAAATTAACCCACCATCTTTGTTGGGTTAATTTGCATACCCACTCCTGATGGGCTATGGGCGTCTCAACAGTATGGTCAATTTGCATCTTTCTCTTTTGTTTTCTTTTTTCAAACAAAGCTGCACGCAACTTTTTTTTTAAATATATTTTATTGATTTTGTACAGAGAGGAAGGGAGAGAGAGAAAGAGTTAGAAGCATCGATGAGAGAGAGTCATCGATCAGCAGCCTCTTGCACACCCCCTACTGGGGATGTGCCCGCAACCAAGGTACATGCCCTTGACCAGAATCAAACCAGGGACCCTTCAGTCTGCAGGCCGACGCTCTATCCACTGAGCAACACCAGTTTCTGTCTTTCTCTTTTATTAGTGTAGGTTTTATGAATGTTTTGCTTAACAGATGGATAGGTGGGCAGGTCGGTGGATGGAGAAGTGAGTGGGTGAATGGGGTGGGTGGATGTATGGAAGGGCACTCACATGGGTTAATTAATTAATTTTAGGGGCCACTACACTCTGCAAGTGAAATGTCACCATCTCTGAACACAAAGGATGATTGCTGGTGAGCTTGGTTAGTAGCACCTGTGTCTTCTCTGAGGCTGTGTTTGACAGGGAGGTAACATACAGAAAGGGTGCTGAGTCCTCCAAAAGGACACTCCCCAGGGTTCCAGCCAAGATTTATTTATTTATTTTCAACCCTCACCTGGGGATATTTTCCCATCGGTTTTTAGAGAGAGTGGGAGAGAGAGGGAAAGGCAGAGAGAGCCGAAACCGGTTTGGCTCAGCAGTAGAGCGTCAGTCTGCGGACTGAAGGGTCCCAGGTTCGATTCCGGTCAAGGGCATGTACCTTGGTTGCAGGCACATCCCCGGTGGGGGGTGTGCAAAAGGCAGCTGGTCGATGTTTCTCTCTCATCGATGTTTCTAGCTCTCTGTCTCTCTCCCTTCCTCTCTGTGAAAAATCAATAAAATATATTAAAAAAAAAAAAAAAAAAAAAAAAAAGACAGAAACAGCAATGTGAGAGAAACACATAGATTGGTTGCCTCCTTCACGTGCCCTGACCAGGGCCCCGGGCCTGGGGAGGAGCCTACAACCGAGGTTCGGTCCTTGACTGGAATCCAACCTGGACCCTTAATCGCCAGGCCAACACTCTCTCCACTGAGCCACACCGGCCAGGGCTCGCCAGGAACGATTTAACTGAAGGCCCTGGCTGGGTGGCTGAATTAGTAGGCCAAGGGTGAGGGCTGGATCCCGGTCAGGACACAGGAACCAACCAGTGAATGCATAAGTAAGTGGAACCACACATCTCTCTCTCTCCCAAGGAAAACAAAGAACAAAAGAATCGCTGAGCTGGATGTAACAAGATCTCTAGAGGGGATTTCCAGTCCAACTGCACAGAGAGGAACAGAGTCCAAACAAGGAGGAGACGAACGGTGAAAGGACCCTTTGGTAACGGGACACCTGATCAGGAAGTGCACATCTGGTGATACTGCAGTTCTGTTCATTGATATGTGAGAGACGCTACTGCAATCCTTACAAGCCAGGCGACTTGTTCTAAAACAATCCGGAAGGAGAGGCGTGCGTGTGAAATAAAACTGGCAGCGTGTTCCTTGTGGAGGCTGGGTGAGTACACTGGAGACTGGATCTAACTCTTTTTAAAAAAAAAAAAATTTGTTGAGTTTTTACAGAGAGGAACGGATAGGGATAGAGAGCTAGAAACACTGATCAGCTGCCTCCTGCACACCTCCCACTGGGGATGTGCCCTCAACCAAGGTACATGTCCTTGACCGGAATCGGACCCGGAACCTTTTAGTTCGCAGGCCGAAGCTCTATCCACTGAGCCAAACCGGTTAGGGCTCATCCAGCTCTTTGCTCTACTCTTGTGTATGTTTGAAATAGTGCATGGTCTAAAAAAACAACCTCTTAAGCCCTCACTGAAGAGGTCAGGACGTGGTCAGAACGTCATCCTGGGCTGGGTTCCCAGTCAGGGCACAGACAAGAAGTGACCAATAAGTGCAAAAGTAAGTGCAACAACAAATCAGTGCTGTGCCTGGCTGGAGTGCTCAGTGGATAGAGAGCCAGCCTGCAGACTAAAGGGTCGCAGGTTCAATTCCACTCAAGGGCCCGTACCCAGGAGGCAGTTAAGGGATGATTCCCTCTCATCATTGATGTTTCCAACTCTCTCTCCCTCTTCTTTCCTCTCTGAAATCAATAAAAGTATTTTTTTTTAAAGTCAATGTTTCTCTTTCTCCTTTCTGTTCTCTAAAAATGAATATATTTTAATTAATGAAAATATTTTAATAACATCGAGGAAAGACAGGCTGAAATGGAAGTGATGGGGAGGTGAGAAAGAAACATGGTCCGGCCAGGGTAGCCAGCTGTTGAGCATCGATCCAGGCCCCCAGAGGCCACCTGTGCTGTCCGAGTGGGGACAGGTGACTGGGTTGAAGGCTCCATCCCCAGTGGGGGGCATGCAGGAGCTGATTGATGATGTTTCTCTCATTGATGTTTCTATCTCTATCCCTCTCTCTTTAAAGAAGAGAGTCTTTCAAGAAGAGAGAGAAGAGAGAGAGAGAGGAAGGAAGGAAGGAAGGAAGGAAGGAAGGAAGGAAGGAAGGAAGGAAGGAAGGAAGGAAGGAAGGAAGGAAGGAGGGAAAGAAGGAAGGAAGGAAGGAAGGAAGGAGGGAAGAAAGGAAGGAAGGAAGGAAAGAAGGAAGAGAAAGAAAGCCAAAGAAAAAGAAAGAAAGAATAGGACTATTTTCAGAAAAAAAAAAAAATGCTGGTGGTAGCTGAAACTAGGCAGTGGGCACATAAGGACTGATGCAGAAATGTTTATGTGTTTAAAATTTATCAAGGTGGCCCTGACCGGTTTTGCTCAGTGGATAGAGAGTCGGCCTGCAGACTGAAGGGTCCCAGGATCGATTTTGGTCAAGGGCATGGACATTGGTTGCGGGCACATCCCCGGTAGGGGGTGTGCAAGAGGTAGCTGATGGATGTTTCTCTCTCATGGATGTTTCTAACTCTATCCCTCTCCCTTCCTTTCTGTAAAAAAATCAGTAAAATATATTTAAAAACAAACAATGTGACCATGGAAAGGGCCCAGATGACTTTCTAGCCAGGTGTCTGGGGCGGCGGGCAGAGCAGTGTTTGCTGAGCACGTCCTCACGGACAGGAGGTCAGGGAGTGAGTGACCTCACACAGCACAGCCCTCTGCCCAGGGGTCCTGGGGCTCACTCCCTGCCCTATGCCCCTCATCACAGGGTGCTGTGACCCTGACACCCAACCCGCACCCCGCCCTCCCGGCGCAGGGCTCACCGAGCTCCAGGCAGCCGAGCACGCCGAGGACCAGCCCCATGGCGTGGTACAGGGGCAGCACCGTGTACACCACGTCGGCGGCCGTCACCCCGCTCAGGCCCAGCATGGCGCTCATCTGCAGCACTCGCTCGTGGGTGAGGATGGCCGGCTTGGGGAGCCCTGGGGACGGAGGGGAAAAGAGGGGGGTTGGTGTGCAGGGCCGGGTCTCCATGGTGGGGAGGGGGTCCAGGAGGTCAGGCTGGGTTTGGGGTTCAGAGGTCCAAACCCAAAGCTCCAGGGGGCAAGACTCTGGCCCTGATCCCTTCAAGGGCAGCTGGGGGCAGAGGTCAGGCCAGGGGGAGGCCGGCTCGGGGTCAGGTCAGGGGAAGAGGCCAGGGGTCGAGGTCAGGTCAGGGGGAGAGGCCAGGGGTCAGGGTCAGGTCAGGGGGGGAGGCCAGGGGTCGGGGTCAGGTCAGGGGGGGAGGCCAGGGGTCAGGGTCAGGTCCGGGGGAGGCCGGGCTCGGGATCAGGGTCAGGTGAGGGGGAGAGGCCAGGGGTCAGGGTCAAGTCAGGGGGAGGCCAGGCTTGGGGTCAGGTCACGGGGAGAGGCCAGGGGTCAGGGTCAGGTCAGGAAGAGAGGCCAGGGGTCGGGGTCAGGTCAGGGGGAGGCCGGGCTCGGGGTCAGGGTCAGGTGAGGGGGAGAGGCCAGGGGTCAGGGTCAAGTCAGGGGGAGGCCAGGCTTGGGGTCAGGTCACGGGGAGAGGCCAGGGGTCAGGGTCAGGTCAGGAAGAGAGGCCAGGGGTCGGGGTCAGGTCAGGGGGAGGCCGGGCTCGGGGTCAGGGTCAGGTGAGGGGGAGAGGCCAGGGGTCAGGGTCAAGTCAGGGGGAGGCTGGGCTTGGGGTCAGGTCAGGGGGAGGCCGGGCTCGGGGTCAGGGTCAGGTCAGGGGGAGAGGCCAGGGGTCGGGTCAGGTCAGGGGGGGAGGCCACGGGCCAAGCGCGGGCTGCGGGGCGCCCTCACCGGTGGTCCCCGAGGTGTAGATGAACAGGGCGGGGCTCCGCGGGGTGAGGCCGGCGCGGAGGCCGGCGGGCACGGGGTCCGAGGGCGCGGCGTCCAGCGCGGGCTCCAGCGCGCTCACCCCCGGCGTCGGGGAGCTGCGGCCCAGGTAGAAGCAGCGCACGCGCTCCGCCTGCAGCTGAGGGAGCACCTCCTCCAGGCTCTCCCGGAGGTCTGGGGGGCGGAGGCCAGAGGGGAGACTGAGGCACGGCCCCCTCTCTTCCCGGAGGACTGGGGGGTGGGGGGCCTGAGGGGAGACTGAGGCACGGCCCCCCTCTTCCCGGAGGTCTTGGGGGGCGGGGGCCAGAGGGGTGACTGAGGCACGGCCCCCCTCTTCCCGGAGGTCTGGGGGGCGGGGGCCAGAGGGGTGACTGAGGCACGGCCCCCCTCTTCCCGGAGGTCTGGGGGGCGGAGGCCAGAGGGGAGACTGAGGCACGGCCCCCCTCTTCCCGGAGGTCTGGGGGGCGGGGGCCAGAGGGGAGACTGAGGCACGGCCCCCCTCTTCCCGGAGGTCTGGGGGGCGGGGGCCAGAGTGGAGACTGAGGCACGGCCCCCCCTCTTCCCGGAGGTCTGGGGGGGCGGGGGCCAGAGGGGAGACTGAGGCACGGCTCCCCCTCTTCCCGAGGTCTGGGGGGTGAGGGGCCAGAGGGGAGATTGAAGCACGGCCCCACCTCTTCCCGGAGGTCTGGGGGGGCGGGGGCCAGAGGGGAGATTGAGGCACGGTCACCCCCTACTCCACCCCCTTCCAGGCTGTGAGGGGGAACCCGCCCGCCCGGGTCCTCCGAGGGCGCGGCCGGCAGAGGGCGCTTCTGCGCTTTTGGGAAGAACCTCAGGGGCCCGGCCGGTGTGGGTCAGTGGGTAGAGCCACAGCGGCCTGCGGACAGAAGGGTCCCGGGTTCGGTTCCGGTTCCGGTCAAGGGCAGGGACCCTGGTGGCCGGCTCTTCCGGGCTGGACCTTGGTCAAGGCGCGTGCAGGAGGCAACCATCGAAGTGTTTCTCTGTCTCTCCCTCTCTCTGCCACCCTCTCTAAAATCAACGGGAAAATATCCTCCGGTGAGGATTAAAAAAAGAAAAAAAGGTTAATACTGGCAAAAGGAATTGCAATAGCCATGGCTCAGTGGTTGAGCTTTGACCTATGAACCAGGGGGTCAGGGTGAGATGCCCCGGTTGTGGGCTGACCCCCAGTGTGGGGCGTGCAGGAGGCGGCCGATCAATGATTCTCATGGATGTTTCTCTCTCCCTTTCCCTTCCGCTCTGAAATCAATAAAAAAAAATTTTTTTAAAAGAAAAAACAGCTGAAACCGGTTTGGCTCAGTGGATAGAGCGCCGACCAGCGGACGGAAGGGTCCCAGTCAAGGGCATGTATCTTGGTTGCTGTCACATTCCCAGTGGGGGGGGGGGGGTGCAGGAGGAAGCTGATAGATGTTTCTCCCTCATCGATGTTTCTAACTCTATCCCTGTCCTTTCCTCTCTGTAAAAATCAATTATTTATATATATAATATTATATATATAATATTATATATATAATAATAATCAAATATATATAATTGATTTTTATTGTAAAAAATCAATAAAATACATTTAAACTAGAAAAATATTTAAAGGAAAAACAAAGCGCCTGGCGCCTTCAGAATTATGTTCCAGCCTGTGGGGTGAGCGGGCTAACGGGCTCCGGTCCACTCCCTCCTGGTCCCTGACCATTGGGCCTCCCAGCCGGCCCGCTCCCCGTCCTCCCTCCCGCCGGCCCGGGGCGGGGGCTCCTTACCCGGGTCCACCAGCAGCACCCGCGCCCCGGAGCTCAGTACCGAGTGCGCCAGCGGCGCCCCGCGGATGTGCGGGTTGATCCAGGCCACGGGGCAGCCCAGCTTGGCCAGCCCCAGCCACAGGCCGAGCGCGGGCACGGCCTGTGCGGGCGCCGTCAGCAGGGCGGCGGGCTCGGGGGGCCCCGCGGCCTCGGGGCGCACCAGCTCCGGCTGCAGCGCCCAGGCGGCGCGGCAGGCCCGGGCGTCCAGCTCCGCGTAGGTGACGGCGCGGCGGCCGCGGCCCGTCCACACCAGCGGCGCGTGGTCCGGCCGCGCCCGCGCGCGCCGCTCGAAGGCGTCCACGAAGGTGTCGGGGGGCGCGCGGCGCAGGCGCCCCCGCACCCGCAGGCCCAGGCGGAGGATGCGCGCGGCGAAGGCCAGGTCGGCGGGCAGCCAGAGCAGCGCGGGGGGCGGCCGGGCCGGCAGCAGGGCTAGTGCTAGCGCCGCGGCCGCCAGGCTGAGCCCCGGCGGCGCCCAGGACCGGAGCCAGGGCCGCGCCAGCGCCGCCAGCACGGCCAGCGCGCAGCAGGCGGGGTCCCCGAGCAGCCAGCGCAGCGCGGGCGCCGTGGCTACGGGCCAGGTGGGCAGCCCCCCGGCGCGCAGGAGTCCCAGCAGCGGCAGCAGCAGCAGTGCCCGGCGCCCCGCGCCCATGGCCCCGGCGGTCTGTCCTCCCCGCACCGGCAGTCGGTCTATCCTCCCGGCACCGGCGGTCTGTCGGTCCTCCTGGCACCGGCTGTCTGTCCTGTGCCTGTGGCGTGCTCACCTGCGCGGGGCTGGCCGGCAACCTCTGGCCCCTGGCGGGGGTCCAGGTGGCATCGAGGGCGGAGCGACCCACCGCTGGGACTCTGCCCCCAGAACTTTTCAGTGACAGTTGATATTCAACAGCAGATTCGCTCCGGGTGCGCCACAGAGTAGCTAGGCACTTACACTCATTTAAAAAATATGTATTTTTTATTTATTTCAGAGAGGGAGAGACAGAAGCATCAATGATGAGAAAATCACGGATTGGCTGCCTCCCGCACACCTGCCCCCACTGGGGATCAAGCCTGCAACCCAGGCCTGTGCCCTGGACCGGAATCGAACCCAGGACCCTTCAGTCCATTGAGCCCCACCAGCTGTGCACTGTGGTGAGCCGGCAGGGCCATGGCATCCTCAGCCTCAGGGTGCTGATGTGCCGTGCCAGCTCAGCCAGGTCCAGTGACCACCCCGGGAGGGGGCAGTGAAAGGCTTAGGAAAGACAGGAGGGGAGGAGGGCTGGGTCTGGGTGGGACGCAGTTCCCGGATAAACAGACAGCGCCCACGCCTTTAACAGCCAGATGCCAGGAGGCAAAGTAAGGGAGTGGAGTTGTTTACATTCTTCTGGGTTTGGATCCTGTTCCATCACTGCTGCTGATCGAGCTTTGCTGACTTGCAGCCTAAGTCCCTCAGCACATGGGGCCACGTGTTGGGACCACAGGGTCCAGCTGACAACTCCAGCTATTGTTGGTATAACGGTGCTGGGAGGCTCTGCCCTCCGGACGTGCCCTCTCCTAAATCCAAGGTTTGGACCTGTCCAAACTCTGTAGCCGCCACCCAGAGGGCACTGTTACTCCTTTTTAAAAAGTACTTTTATTGATATCAGAGAGAGGGATTGAAACATCAAGGATAAAAACCATGGATCTGTTGCCTCTTGCACTCCCCCTACTGGGGGTGGAGCTTGCAACCCCTGAACGTGCCAGTGACCGGGATGGAACCCATGACCCTCCAGTCCTGGGGCCAAGGCTCTGTCCACTGAGCCACATGGGCTGGTGCTATTGGACGCTTTCACGCCCTCCAAGGCAATCCTTTCCTAAATCTGGTTCCCCCGGCACCACAGGTGTCACAACACCAACTACAACCCCTCTGCTGTGCTCTGCACCTCCCCAATGTTACTTCTTAATCCCTCATCTTGTCCACCCAGCCCCCACCTGTCCTGGGCCTCACCCCACTTGTTTAGCTGCAGGGCCCTCTGTGCCCCTCTACCTGGATGGACACCGCTGGCCAGGGCCACGCGTCAGCAAGGCCAGTTGGGCTTCGGGCACAGCCTGACTCCCCTTCACCCGTGGGAGGTGGGGTTTGGCTGGACTGGGGCACCGCCACCTGCCCAGAAGCCAGCAGACCACCCCGTGCAGGCTGCACTTCCCCTCAGCCTGCCCAGGTCCCTAGGGCAGATCACAGACCACCCTGCTCTGGAGGCGAGAGAGGAGCCACCTTCCTCCGACACCTGCCCACCTGGCACTGCAGACGGCGCCTGCCAGGGCAGGTCAGTCCCCTGATGGCAGCTAGCCCCCAAAGAACTGGCCCCCAAAAAGGGCTCCCCCACGATGAGGTCCTGGGGGACAGGCTTCGGAATGAAATGTGGCTGGGGAGGGGTCCCGCACGTGGCCCCCTCTGAGGACACACCGCATGGGGCTGGTCTGTACCCTCCCCACAGGACCGCGGACGAGGAGGGTCAGGCCCGGTCATATGCATGCCCCCCACCCCGAGAACAGAGGCACCAGATGACCAAGTGGACCGTTCTGTCTTTACCCAACGAGAGCGAGAAACCCCATGTCCAGGCCTTTATTAGTCCCTGCGGGGCCCATCCGAGACCCCGTAGGTGCCAGGTGAGGGGCGGCTTGGGGAGTACACCATGGGTCCCACCCCGTCTGCAGCTGGAGTGCGGGAGCAGCTTTGAACCCCACCCCACTTCCGGGAGTTGGAGCAGGAATCCTGGGCCCCCACGCCACGTCTGATGGTCCAGGTTTGAGGCAGTCAGATCCCCACCAGCCCCCGCCCGACACTACCTGGAAGGGTCCGAGTGTGGGCGGAGCAAGGCGAGCTGGGCCCCTGGTTAGGGGAGATGAGGGTGGAAGCAGGGGCGGGGCCTGTGCTCAGGGGACAGTGGCCAGAGGTGGTCAGGGTACCTGCTGCTTTGCTGGCAGGAATGGCAGGAGCCCTGCGCTGGGCGTGGCCAAAACATGGGCGTGGCCTAGCCGGCACAGCGCAGTCCCAGTGGCTGAGATCCACAGTGGGCGTGGTCAGGCCGCAGGGGCGTGGCCGGGGTCAGGGCGCGGGGTGCGCCGCCAGATGGCGCTCCAGCAGCGCGCGGTGCGAGAAGACCTTGCCGCAGGCGGGGCAGGGCGCGCGCTCCGGGCGGTGGGTGCGCATGTGCACGTTGAGCGAGCTCTTCTGCGTGAAGCGCTTGGCGCAGACGCCGCACTGGAAGGCGCGCACGCCCGTGTGCGTGACCATGTGCTTGAGCAGGTAGTCGCGCAGCGAGAAGGACCGCCAGCACACGGCGCACTGGTGCGGCTTCTCCCCTGCGGGCGGCAAGTGGGGCGCAGGTGTCAGCCCCCACCGGGGCAACTCCGCCAGGCAGGGACCCCGCCCCAAGGGGACAACCACCCACCCGGAACCCTCACTCCCCGACCGTCCCGTCCCACGGGGACCCCCACACGCGGCCTGGCCGGTTGGGACCCCTCTCCCAGGTCTGCACCATCTCACCAGGTACCACTGAGTGTCAGGGTCCCTCAACCCCAAAAGGCACCCTCTCCGGAGAAAACCCGCCGGAGTGGGGCATCATTGCCCATCGGGGCTGGGCACTGAGGCCTCCCCTCCCCCATACCCGCCCGCCCACACCTGGCCACCCTTCTGGGGAGACCCTTACCCTAGAAGGGCCCTGGGCACGCCTCCCCCTTTCCGCTAAACCCCCGCTGCCCACACCCCGCCGCTGGCCACCACGATGTCCCTGGGGGACAGCAGGCTGAGCCCCCAAGGCTCAGAGAGGAGGAGGCCAGCCGTTGGCTCTGAATCAGGGGCATAAACGAAAGCCTTTCTCAGGCAGGAGCTGTTGGCAGTGCCCAGGCGGGGTCCTCCCACCCGGGCCAGCTGGCACCGGCACCTGCTGAGGCCCCGTGGAGCCTGTGGTGGTTTTAAATTGTAAACTGCACCTCCGTTCCCTCTCCCGGCTCAGAACACGGTGCCTTCCCCGCTTTCACAGCGAAACCCCAACCCCCAGGCCCGGGACTCCCCTTGCCGCTTCCCTGGCTCTGGCCAAACCCGGGCTTTTGACACCGGCTCCGCCTGGCATCGCACACACCTGTCCCCCCAGGCCTGGCCCTCCTCCACCTGGGCCTCCCTCCACCCCACCCCCCATCTGCCTCCCTTCAGAGCCTCCTCCCTGACAAGCCCAGGTCCAGACCCTCCCTGCAGCCCTGGTCAGACCGCCCCTCTGCCTGCTCCCCTCGCTCCCCAGGCCAGCGGACCCACAACCCACTCTGCATCGCCCCAGCGCTGCTCCCGCACCGGGCCATGCCCACCCCACCCCACCCCACCCCACCCCACCGCTCCATCCCCAGCTCCACCCCCACCCTAAGGCTCCTCCCCCACCCCCAAGGCTCCATGCCCAGCTCCACCAGGGTTCCAAAGGCTCTGGGGAGGGTCCTGCTCCGCACCCCGCCTTAGGAGACCCCCCCCCAATGAAGCGGGGTCAGGAACCCGCAGGGGGGTCTGGGAGCTCCATTTCCAGGCTCCTCTGGAGTAGCCAGCCCCGCCCGGTTCGCCCCCCACCCCCAGGTTCGCGTCTCCCGGGACCCGGCCCGGGACGGACGGACACACACACACCCGCTCACCCGAGTGGATGAACATGTGTTTGGTGTAGTTCTTCCGCGAGCTGAAGGTCTTGCGGCAGTGGCTGCACTCGTAGGCGGGCGGCTCGGGGCCCGCGGGGCGCGCAGGGGGGGCCAGGGGGGCGGCGGGCGGCGCCAGGGGCTCCCCCAGGGCCACGCCGGGGGCCGCCTCGGGCTGCAGCGCCGGGTAGAAGGCGGTCGGGGGCGCGGGGACCGGCTCCGGGGGCGCCGGCGGCGGCTGCGCGGGGGGCCCCGGGGCGCCCAGGTGGAAGGGGAAGAGGACCACGGGCGGCGCCGGGGCCTTCGCGGCGGGCTGGCGGGGCGCGGACAGGGCGCAGTCCGGCGGCGCGGGGGCCTCGGCGGCACAGCCCTCCGCCGCGGGGCCGTCCTCCTCCTGCCACGCGGGGACGTAGCTGTCCGGGGGGAACACGTCCTCGGCCGCGGGTGGCCCCCGGAGGAAGTCCCGGCCGGCGCCGTAGCCCGGGAGGCCGGCGGGCGCGGGCGGCTCCTCGCGCGCCTGGTCGGCAGGGAGGAAGCCGGCGGCGCAGTCGGGGAAGGACGGGGGCGCCCGGCCCTCGCCCGCGCCGCCGCCTTCGCCGTCCTCGCCATCGCCGTCCGTCTCGTCCTCCGTCTCGTCGTCCTCCTCGTCGTCCCCGCCCTCCTCGGGGGCGGCGGGCAGGGCAGGGTCCGCGAAGGGCGCCTCGGCCTTGGCGGGCGCGGCGGGCGCGGGCAGCTGCAGGCGCGCGGGCTGGCGCTGCTTGCGGGCGTGCGCGGCCCCGGGGGGGCCCGGCGGGCGCGCGGCGAGCAGGTGGCGCAGGCGGTGGCGCAGCTGCGCGGGCGCGAGCGGCGGCGGCACGGGCGTGGGCAGGGCCGTGGGCAGCGGCGCGGGGGCGGCGGCGGCGGCGGGGCCCGGGGCGCGGGCGCGCGCGATGATCTGCGTGCACTCGTCGATGACCGTCTGGATGCGCAGCACGGACGCGGCCGTGAGCACCTGCAGCGCCTCGCCCTGCGCCACCACCAGCGAGCCGCTGTAGAGGAACTCCACGAGCTGGCGCACCGTCTGCGCCGGCACCACGGGCGGCACGCGGATCTCCGAGTGGCCGAGCAGCAGCTTGTCCTGGAAGAAGGGCGAGCCGGCGGCCAGCACGCAGCGGTGCGCGCGCAGCGAGGCCTCGCGGATGCGCACCGTCACGTCGCAGAAGTGGCCGCCCAGCCGCTGCCCGTTGAGGGTCTCGAGCAGCGAGCGCGAGAAGTTCTGCAGGTGGATGTGGTGCACGGCCTCCGCCGCCGCCGCCGCCATCTGCACCGGAGGGGGGGGGTCAGCCAGGGCGCCCTCTGCCCCAGGGTCCCCCTTCCTCCAGCCTCAGCCTCGGGACAGGGCGAACCTCAGCGGCTCCTCTCTCCAAAACGGACCCTTGCAGGGCTCCACCCAGCGCACAGGCCTCAGCATGACCCCCCCATTCATTCATTCTCTCTCCAGGATTCCTGCCCGTCTTGCCATCTGCACAGCTCCCTGCATGCAGACCCATGGGAGAGGGGTGGGAATACCAAAGGTCTCGCCAGGGCCCTGGCTCAGTGTATAAGAGCATAGGTCTGCGGACTGAAGGGTCCCGGGTTCGATTCCGGCCAAGGGCACATGCCTGGGTGTTGGGCTCAGTCCCCAGAGGGGGCCTGCAGGAAGCAGCCCACCAACTCCCCTTCCTCCTGCTCACTACACAGGCAGGGAGGCTCCAGTCTAGGGGCCCACCCAACCCCAATACCTATCACTCTTCTCCCATCCCCTCCAGGGGCAGCTCTGTGAAGAAGAGGGCAGAGACCCCTCCCTCCCCATAGCTGCACCCCCTCACTGGTGGCTTCTCTCTGACCCGCCCCTGCCTCACACCCCAACCTCAGGGCCTTCGGGGCCAGACCTCGTCTGCTGCCTCAGAACCGGGGGTTTTCACCAGTGCACATGGAGGTGGGGTGGCAAGAGGTGTGTGCACCCTGGATTGGGTGACCAGGGGTGTGTGCGGTCACACAGGGTTCAGAAGGAAGCACGTGGTTTCTTGCACACACACACACACACACACACACACCCTCCATGGGTGGGGATATGGAGCAGCCTGTGTGCAGAGAGGGGGCTCGTGGGGCCTGGGCAGGGGTGTGACTGGGTGGGTGCAGGGGGAACATGGCTGAGCACAATCTGGATGCGTCCTGTCAAACTGTGGGCTCCTCCTCCCAGCACTGCCCACCCTCAGGCACTAGAAAGAGGGGTACCACCCCCCTAAATGGATTCTGGGAATCCGAGCAGCTCTAAGTCACCCGTCAAGCTGGCACCATGCTCTCTGAGCTCGTTTCCCCTCCATCTGCCTCGTTCATCTCACACCCAGGCGACCGTCTTCCGTCCAGGGGAGCAGGTGGCCCAGAGTCCTGACTCACCCCCTGCAGCTCCTTAAGCCCAAACAATCTTTGCTGGGGCCGGAACCCACCCCCGTTTCTTGCACGCCCCACATCTAACCCCTCAGACCACCTCCACTGCCCTTCCACATCGGCTGGGACCGAGGGGTGCAGGGACCGCCCCTTCTCCCCCCCCCCCACCTCCGCAGTCTATCCCTCGCGCGGCCGCCAGAGGGAGCCTGCGCCCTCCTCACAGGCCGGGGCCGCCTCGGCTCGGAGGCCGCCCGCCGTGCGGAGCGTTATTCCCGGCAAGTTCGCGAATGAGCCGAGTTTGCACGTGCCGCTGCCTCTGCACCAGCATCCTCCCCGCGTCCGTCCACCCGGCGCCTAAGGCTCCCATGTGCGCCGGGGGTGGGGCAGCCACCTCTGCATCATCCACCCGCGGGGCAGCGGCGCTTCCTTTCCCGCCCCCGCCCCCGATCCCCGCCCGCCCTGCTCCCCGAAAGGCTCCGACTCCGCGGGCACAGGCAGCAGGGCCTCCCGGGCGCCTGGGAACAAAGGCCGCCTGAGGACGCGGCCCCCTGCCCGCCGCCACACCCCTGCCCGCGCCGCGCACGGCCCCGAGCGCCCTCGCCTGCGCTCTGCGGCGGGGCCCGCGCCCTACCCTGCGCCCCGCGCCCCGCTGAGGCCCGCGCCCGCCGCCCCCGCCGCAGCCCGCCCTCCCCAGGCCTCCCGGGCCCGCCCCGCCCGCGCCTACAGCGCCCCCTCCCGGCCCAGCGCAGGGGCCCCTCCCGCGCACGCCCCGGCCTCCCGCCGGCCCCGCGCACGCCCCTCACCTCCCGCTCCTCCGCAGGCACCAGGCCCGGCGCGGCCGCCTCCCGCTGACCACCGACAAGGCCGCGCTTCCCGGCCGCGACGCCGGCGGAACCCAAGTCCGCGGCCGCTGCGGCGCTGGGGAAGCGTTAGCGGGGAGCACGTTTCCGGTGTTGCTATGGAGATGAGCCGCAGCCGCCAGGCCGCAGTTCCGGGGGAACCAAAGTCGCAGATATAGGGACCGCAGGGCGGCGAGGATTCTCTGGGTTGCAGTCCGCTTCCGGCGTCGACTTAAGACGGGGAGGAGGCCGGGCATGAGCTGTCAATCAGAGGGCCACGCCTCTGTGTGCGCGGGGCGGGGCGGGGCGGGGCGGGGCTGGAGGTGCTGCACCGCAATACACCCCGGGAGGTGCTAGCAGGAGCAGGGATGCAGCCGAAACCGGTTTGGCTCAGTGGATGGAGTCGGCCTGTGGACTGAAGGGTTCCGGGTTCGATTCCGGTCAGAGGCATGTGCCTGGGTTGAGGGCACATCCCCGGTGGGAGGTTTGCAGGAGGCAGCTGATCATGTTTCTAAATCTCTATCTCTTTTCCTCTCTGAAAATAAAATAAAATTTAAAAAATGGGGGTGCAAGCAGAGGAGGGGGTACAACCAGGGGGAGGGGTGCAAGCAAGCAGGAAGGGAAGTGCAAGCAGGAGTGGGGGTGCAAACAGGAGTAGAGCTTGAAGCAGACCCCATCCGACCTTGATGCCCGCCCACTTTCTGACTTGCTCCTGAGCCTGGGTCCCAGTTCACAGATGGAAGGTGGAGATAGCCTGATTGGATGCCCCTTAAGCCCCCTCCTCTAACTACCCAGGGCGAGTCATGACAAATAAATGGAGTCATATGGACCTGAAAGGCCTGCCCCAGAGCTCAGAAAAGGGACTGGGGGTGAGATGAGTCTTTGGAGGAGGATGTGAGCAGCCAGACCCCAGAGGCTCGAAGTCACAAGGGACTGAGTCTGTGGGAAGAGCTGTCTGGGCACTGGGCACGGGGAGCAGCCGGGGTCTGCAGGAGCCTGGACAGCACTAGCTGGTTTGTCACCGTGAATAGAGTGTCAGTCTATGGACTAAAGGGTCCCTGGTTTGATTTCAGTCAAGGGCGCATGCACAGGTTATGGGATGGATTCCCAATGCAGGTGTGCAGGAGATAGCCGATCCATGATTCTTCCTCATCATTGATGCTTCTCTCTCCCTCTTCCTCTCTGAAATAAAAAGAGAAAGTTTACTTAGAAAATCACTGAGGTAGCCTTGGCCAGTGTGGCTCAGTTGGTTAGAGTGCCATCCTAATCACAAAGAGTTGAAGGTTTTTTGTTTGTTTGTTTGTTTTTAAATATATTTTATTGATTTTGTACAGAGAGGAAGGGAGAGAGATAGAACTAGAAACATCGATGAGAGAGAGTCATCAATCAGCTGCCTCTTGCACACCCCCCACTGGGGATGTGCCCGCAACCAAGGTACATGCCCTTGACCGGAATTGAACCTGGGACCCTTCAGTCCCCAAGCCGACGCTCTATCCATTGAGCCAAACCGGTCTCGGCAAGAGTTGAAGGTTTGCCGAAACTGGTTTGGCTCAGTGGATAGAGCGTCGGCCTACGGACTGAAGGGTCCCGGGTTTGATTCCGGTTAAGGACAGGTACCTTGGTTTTGGGCACATCCCCAGTAGGGGGTGTGGAATAGGCAGCTGATCAATCTTTGTAACTCTCTCTTCCTCTCCCTTCTTATCTGTAAAAAATCAATAAAAATATATTAAAAATAAAAGAGTTGAAGATTCCACTCCTGGTGGGGCACACACCCAGGTTGTGGATTTGATGGTACAGGAAGCATCAGGTCAGTTTCTTCCTCCATTAATCTTTCTCTCTCCCCATTTCTCTCACTCTAGAATCAATAAGGATTTTAATATTGCATTGATTGCAGAGAGGAAGGGAGGAGAGACAGAAACATCGATGATGAAAGAGCCAAAACCGGTTTGGCTCAATGGATAGAGCGTTGGCTTGTGGACTGAAAGGTCCCAGGTTTGATTCCGGTCAAGGGCATGTACCTTGGTTGTGGGCACATCCCCAGTGGGGGGTGTGCAAGAGGCAGCTAATCGATGATTCTCTCTCTCATCGATGTTTCTAACTATCCCTCTCTCTTCCTCTCTGTAAAAAATCAAAAAAATATATATTTTTTTTTTTAAAAATGATGAGACACATTAATTGCCATCCACCGGAGATCAAGCCTGCAACCAGGGCCTGTGCCCTGAGGAGACTTGACCTGGGATCTCCTGTTTCATAGGTTGATTCTCAACCACTGAGCCACACAGGACACGCATGGGTGCTTTTTATTTTTATGTGTTTTGGCATCGATGATTTAAACAAAAGAGAAAAGAAAGCCAGAGGCAAGAGATTGCACCTGGGCGAAGGGGTGGGAGGAGTGGAATGGGAAACTGAGACTGAGCCCAACAAAAGAGCCATTCAGAGCCAGCACAGATCACCATGGGAAGAACATGGAGGCCTCAGCGGTATGTCAGCTCCAGGCCCAGTAAAGCAGCTGAATCAAACTGGGGGGCGACTCCAGGACCAGTGCGGTGACGGACGACTCCCTCCCTGCCACTGGCCAGTCCCAGGAGACCCCAGCCCTAAGGAGCACCCCCAAAACACTGATGAGCAGACACACTCGCTGAAGCCCTCCCCAGGCCTCCCTTAGGATTTCCGCATTCCAGATGCAAGACTGGGGACCAAGGGCCGGGGTGTGCCCTCCCCATATCCCCTCCCTCCCTCTTCTTACCCCCTTTCTTACCCCACAGCTGTGTGTCTCCTGAGCCCTAAAAGGCCCCTGGAGGCTTGCAATCAGGGTGCCCTGGGTGCCACGGTTCCTCCCAGACTCACCCCTGAACCTGGTCCCAAGGCCCCTCCTCTCTGACTTGCCCGACAGCAAGGGCAGCCGGCCTAGTTATGCTGTTTTACAGAGAGGAAGGGAGAGGGATAGAGAGCTAGAAACACTGATGAGAGAGAACCATCGATCAGCCGCCTCCTGCACACCCCACTGGGGATGTGCCCACAACCAAGGTACATGCCCCCGACTGGAATCGAA